GGGAGGCTCTGAAACTCTCCTTAAACAGAAATTCTGTAGTTGTCACATATGTATCCCTTTCTTCAGTCTCATCCCTCTCTCTTTGCTTGCGGCACTTGGCCTGCTTGCAGCACTTGGCCTGCTTGCAGGGATCTACCCTAACTCCTCCCTTATCTCAACCTGACTTCACTGAAGCCTCCACACTTCGGAAAGACTTCCTGGCTAGTGCAGGCAGAGGTCCACACTGGTGCCCCCTTTCTGAATCCCTGCTGCATTTCCTGTTTATATCACATGATTCTGTGGTAGTCAACCCGCTACTTTCATTTCCATTATATGTTTACTTAATTCCACTGTAAACTATTACAGGTATAGTGCTCAGATTTGGAGTTTGGTTTGAATTTTAGTTCCTTGGGGTGGTCAGAAAGTTCTAGAACCAGACAGTGGTGATGGTTGGATAATTTGAATGTCTTTAATGCCACTGAAATTGTACACTTAAAATGGCTAAAAGGGCAAATTGCATGCTCTGTGCATTTTACCACAATACAAAAATAGTGGTTCTATCACTCACAGCCTGTGTGACTTAGGTCATGTAACACTTTGTGCTTGCTTCCTCATTTTTTTGCTGCAAATATCAAGACAAATATTGGTGATGAAAATGACCCTTAAGTGAAACGTCTAAGTTGTAAAACACTGTACAAATATTAGATACGAGCAGCTTCTTCCCTCGTGTGAGCATTCATTCACAGCCCCTCTGAATAGCCACTGGTTCTAACCCTTGCCCACCATCAGCTAATTAAGCGGTAGGGCTGCTCAAAGCCACCAGTTCCTCCATGGGGTTTACAGCAGAGGGTTTGACGCCCAAGTTGAACATGTGATGGGATGCGAAGGGAAGTCCGGGGCTTTTCTCTGACTCCAAACCCTGTTCTCTCACTTGGCAATTTTTCTTGAAGCCCCAGCCACTGGGTGCGTCCAGAAGAGAGGGCATTTGCCTGCCCTCTTCTCTTCCTCCTCTCTCTCTTCCCTCCTCCAAGATAAGCTTTGGCAACTGGGGTGGGGATCACAGGTCTGGGGACAGTGGAAAAAGGCTCCTTTTCTCCAGGGCTCTTCCTGGATTGCTCACAGCTTTGTGTGGAAGGGAATATAAAATGCAAATGTGGCCTTCGGGGAGGCAGGGCCAAGGGACCAGAGCTTGGTATCCCTGGGTTTCCCACAGGCTCGTCTCCTCTCTGTAGACTAGCTGGCCTTTCCGCAGGGACAACTCAAAGTCAACGCTAAACAGCTCCCTGGGGACCTCCTCCCCCTGGGTGGTGAGGAGCGGATGTGAACTCTTCCGCAGGGGAGAGGTGTAAGCTCCCCGCATCCTGCTCCCCTGCCTTCTGCATCCCCCACCCACCCCCATGCTTCACTCTCCAAATTTAGGGGGAATGAGGGAGTGGGAAGGGGGTTAGGCCTGCAGGAGCCCAGAGAATTGAGACCCAGCTTTGAAGCAGGACGCTCCATTCTCACAGCGGACAGAACCAAGGCGGGACCCAGAAACTCCCGCGCTGAAATCCTGGCTGGAGGGTCCCACTCCTTCCTTGGTCAGAGGTCACTGCGTCCGTGGGCAGCCCCTAGGGGCCCCCCGTGCAGCCTCGGCCCTCTCCCAACTCCCTCTCGACTCCCTCCGCCCCTTGCAGCGGACTGAATCCCCGCTGCAGTCCTGGCCCGGAGACCGGATTCGAGAGCCCCAGGGTCCCCCGCCCAAGCCCCTCCCCGGCCGCAGGCGCCGCCTGAGCATTTATGGTAATGTTTGGGTTGGTGTGAGCGAGGCCGGATGCCCCGCCTCCCCGAGGCCTCTACCGGGCAAAAGCTGGGGAGCAGGGGTTCCGGGACGTCCGGCGGGATCCCTTGGCCTGAGGTCCCGGGTTCCAAGGGCTGCCCGCGTGGAAAGGCCCCTGGAGTCGGAGGGGACGAGTGACAGTCCGGGCCTGAGGGCTCATCAGGGCTGGAGGCTAGGATGGAACCGCTGTGACCCCTTCAGTATACCCCACCCACTCCCCCCCTCCGGCTTACTGGTCCCCAGTCCCCAGGAGGAGTCCGTGTGCATCCACGCCTTTTCTCCTCTCTCCCCCACTGGCAGAGACAGGGCTGAGAGGGGAGGCCAGCAGCTCCCAGGGGAGTCGCCGGAATGCTGGGAGCCTGGGAACGGACCCTGCAGTCCCTGGGAAAGCCAGGCTGCGGGAATCCCACCCACAGCCCCCTCCCCAAGATGAGCTGCCGGATGCCGGAGACCCCAGGCCCCAGCAGGGGGCTTTGTGAGGGTGGAAACCCCCCTTGTTCAAGTCCCAGCTCGGCCCGACCCCCCGAGTTCAGTGGGCCATCTGCGACGAAGACACTCCCTCCCCCGCGCAGCGCCTGCCCTGCCTGCTTGGACATAATCCTGGCCATTGTGCCACTCCCCCCTCCCCCCGCTCTCTTCTCTGGACCCCAGCACAATGGGGCCTTTGCCGCCTCCAGCACTCAGGGTGGAGATGAACTCACGGTTTTTCCAAGTTTAAAAATACTTGTCCCACCCCCAAGTCACCCTCCTCCTCTAACAGGAGTTTCTAGGGAGCACCTCACCCCAGGCTGCACCTCCTTCCTTCTGCCCTGGGTCAGGTGCAAAGGACACAGATGAGACTATGTCCGGCCAGGATAGGAGCTGCTTCCCCCCATTCAATCTCTTCCCCGACTCCTTCCACCCAGTCCCCCAGTTTCCGGCTTCCTGGCCTGATGATGTCCTCAGCAGCAACTGCCCCCCACTCCTCCTTCGTTTTTCACTTCCTAAGCAGTCTCCTCCTAACTCAGACCCCCATTCTGGAAAAATTCTCCTACAGCCCCTCCAAAGACCCAGACTAGACCCTATCTTGCGGCCAGGCCAGGGGGTTCCCCAGCCTCCGTAATTGCCAAGGTTGCTGGGCCTCCGCACCCCACCCCCAGCTCCTTTTCGCAGCAGCTGCAAGATTGTCTTTATAAGCTTCCTTCCTCCGCGCAGCCGCCTTTCTCACATCCTCCTCCTGGTCAAGCCCCTCGACCAGAGGGGTGGATGGGAAGCCACTGTGCCCCCCACCCTAGGGCTGAGAGAGGACCCCCAGCATGCGTCGGGGGCAGACCCGGCAGGCCTTTTTACCTCCAAGCTCACTGGGACCGGATCCCCACCTTCCCCGCTTCTCCTTACATGAAAGGAAAGCCCCCCACCCCACCTCCCCACTGGGGACTGTAGCTGGGGACCCAGACCCCACCCAGCCGGTTTCTCTGCCTGTGGTCAGCCCTATGCCGGAAACACACAGAGGGCATTCCTCACAGCGGGGCCTCTCATCTCAGAGTAGCCTGGGGCAACCACAGGGGGGGAGGAAAGCTCCCAGAACCTAACTTTTGGAGAGAAATGAGGCTGGGCGCATGCGTGACCTACTCTGGCCTGGCCTGCACCTGGGCAGGGAAGCCTCCAACCAGTCCAGGTGCAAGAGTGTCAGCGGGGGGAAGATCCATCGCTGCCCGGTCTCCCTCAGCTGGGATCTCTTGCTTCTCTTTCCTGCTCCAGCTGAAGCTCTGTGTTCTGGCCCCTTAGAGCTGCTGGAGGGCTTATACCCTCCACCTCCTGCTCCCTCTGCCCTGTTTGGCCTTCACTCTCCTGTCTTCCTCTTTCCAGTCCCTTCTGTATCCTCTCCAAGGTCCTGACCTCTGTTCGGTTTGGAATCCCAATGTGCCCCCTTCATGAAGCCATCCCAAGGCTGTGTGCCCCTTGACTTCCACCACCCACTCCCTGAGCGGGATGGCCCCAAGCCACCGGCTTCCTTAAAGGACACTCTTTGTGCTGGTTTGGTGGGGCCTCACAGGGAAGGGATATCACCCTGGGCTCTAACCTCATTTCCCTTCACTGCAGAGGCAGCTCCCTACCCCCACCTGGCTTCAATCTCCTCAGGGCGGAAGAATTCCAAACTGACTGTCCTTGGTGGTTAGCAAGCTTTGCTTGCAGGCGGAGAGAGGACAATGATTAGTTAATTGTGTTAAGTGAAGGGAAGGGGGTGGGGCAAGGATGCAGCAGTCCCTGCTCAGCTCTGGGCTGGTCCAGCAAACAGCATCCCTCAGCCATTCCCACTCCTTCCCCTGCAGACAATCAAACTCATCCATTCACTCCTGGCCCACGGCCAGTCCATACAGTCCCTCTAGGGCTGAGTCCTCCTCCTGCGCTCTCCCCCCAGGATCCAGGGCCCCGGCCCGGCCACCTTGGCATGGCCGCCGGCTGGAGGCTAATAGAGGGGGAGGAGGGGGTCAGCAAGAAGCTGATGTGGTTTGCGAATCATCTCTGCGTCATCAAAACGTCATCCCCGAGCATTCTCTCAAGTCACCTGCCGATCTCTGGTGTTTGCTGCCTCACCCTGCTCCCCCGCCAACCAGCAGAAATGCTGCCCTGCCAGGCAACAGACCTGTACCCCAAATCCAGGCCCCCATTTGATCCTCCCTGCAGAAGGAGCCCCAGCAGGCGTGGGGTTAGGGGGCAACTCCATTCTCCAGAGCTGTAAATGCAAAAGGCCAGAAGATGCAGAGCTTGGGCAGAAGGGGGGCTGCAGAGTTCCCCACACCTTTGCCAGGTGGCAGTCCCCACTAAGGCAGGGCCGTCTGAAATCAGATCTGATTGGTTGCGCATGCCCCCACCCCAGCTGGGGACCCTGCAGAGGCGGGTGGAGCCCTGCTGTAGGGCGTCTTTTCAACCATCAGGACCAGCAACAGGTTTTTAGGGGTCACGCTGGAGACCTTGCACCCATTCACTCTTTTCCCTAACCTCTTCTTCCTTTAGATGAGGAGAAATTGAATCCCAGGCTAGGTTCAATGAGTGAAGAGGGCAGAGAGGTTCTCCAAGGGCTGGGCTTGGTCAAGTGTGAAAACCGGGGCTGGGAATTCCGTCCCATGCCTCCTTCCTTGGAGTCAAAGACGGACTTGCAAGAGGTCGGGGTGGAAGGGACAACCCACGTGGTACCACCTCCACTGCCCAACACAGGTACCTCTGGGTCTGTGGGACCCCGTTCAGGGTTCTTGTCCTCAAGGCTGCCAGGACCGCGGGGCCTGGGGGCAGTGCCAGGCCGGGAGCGGCCGCAGTGGTGCAATCATTCTGGGAAGAGACCGTGACCGTCCGATTTCTGTGGCAGGGGTCGGGCGGGGTAGAGCAGGCGGCTGGGAGAGAAGCCTGAATGGGAGGCCCCCATCGGGGTCACCGAGGACTCTGTCAGCTGCTCCTCCGCCAGGAGATCCCTCGGGGTACACTGGCTGGTCGGAGCTGGGCGAGGGCGAGCGCGGCTGCTTCTCACCCGGCATGACTCCGGGCACCGGGACCAGCTTCTCCTCGCTGCCCCCCGGCCAGCCGGCCTGGCCCTGAGACACCTGTCACCACCCCCTCACCCTTCCCGGGGCCGGGGGCTGCGCGGCCGGCTCAGGCCTACCTCCACGCGGCCCGGATCCCCGCCGCTCCCGGCCTCGCGGCGCCGGGCCCGCCCCCCAGGGCTGCGGCGGGGGCGGGGGGCTGCGCGGGGCGTGGCGGCCGGTCTCGGCGCTCCGGGCCCCCGCCCCCGCCCCCCTGACGTCAGCCCCCGGCCGCCGCCCGCTCCGCACTCGGCTCGCGCCCTCCGGCCGAGAAGCATGGGGCTGTCCGGGCTCGTCTGCGCCTTCCTGCTCGCCGCCTGCTGCAGTCGCCGCGCCGCCGGTGAGGGAGTTCGCGGCGGGCCCGCGCCCGGGGTCCGGCCAGGGGTCGGCGGCGGAGCGTGCTCGGTCCCGGAGCGGGCTGCGCGGCGGGGCCGCGGCCGTGCGCTCCGGCGCGCGCCGCTCCTTCCCGGTCCCCGGCGCCCGGGCGCCCTGCGCGTGCAGCTCTCCTGGGCAGCCAGTTCGCAGCCTCTGTTCTGGAGTATCCCGGGAGCAGGACCGGGGAGGAGGCTGCTGCCCGGAGCGGGGAAGGGGTGGGGCCGAGCATCTCGGGGCGCTGGGGAGAGCGTGCCCTCAGGTGCTTACGCTGGGGACGCGCAACTGCAGCCGGGGCAGGAGGCGCACCCAGAGCGCATCCCCAAATCCTGGATTCCGCGCCTCCTGTTGCTGGAAAAGGCAGCTTTCTGAGCTGGAGGGGGTGCGCCGACCCCTCCCTCTCTCGCCTGGGCTTCCAGCCAGGCTGGAGGTGAACGAGGCGGGAGGGACGGCCGCTCCGGCCCGGGCAGGGCGTTGGCAGGGGCTGCGGGGCGGTGTGGGACTCCTCGCGCCTAGGCGGGTGACCGGATCACAGGTGGCAGAGAGGAAGGACGGAGAATTCCCGGAGTAGAAGCGCCCGGACTTGTTACTCCTCCCGGAATGGGACCACATTCCAATGGAAGGGTGCCCCTGCACCTCGGAGTTTTTCTCTGAAACTAACTAGGAGCCGGGAGCTCCCGGGTCCACGCTGCCCTTGTATGGCCCGCAGCGGTATCCCGTGGTTCTCCTGGCGCCCTTTCCCGAGTCCCAGCCGCTGACCGGCTGGGGAAGGGGAGGGCTGGGCAGTACCCAGCTCGCTGGCCTCATGCCCAGAGCTGGCAGTGTCCCTGGGGTACCCCTGGCCACTGCCTCCCAAATTGACTGTATTTTTTGGGAAAGGGCTAAACCAGGCCCACAGCTGCAGCAGGTCCAGCCCCACGCTGCTCTGCTCTTCCAGCTCTGGGGAAACAGAGTCAGGGCTCTGGGGCTTCTGCTCCCCATCGAGGACCACTCCATCTGCCCTCTTGTCTGGGAGCCAGCCCAGGGCAGCACCCCACAGTCCAGCCAGATGGCAGTGAGTGACATCACCTCCTCACAGGGCGGGCAGCACGCTGGCACCACTGATGTCACTCCTGCCCACTGCCCAGCCCTTGCCCTGACCCCGGGGGGAGATTCTGACCCTCCCCGGATTCTGACCCCTCCAGACTCACAAGACACCAGAGGATGCGGTTCCCTGCGGGTGTGGGGTGAACACGGAGGTGCTGCTTAGGGAATGTGAGATGGGGGCCTCTGGCCAGGGTTGGCCTGCTGAGTCTTGTGGGGAGCTGGAGAGGAGTTTTTTGGGGGGAGAGGAGGGAAGGATAGAGGAGTGATGTCTTCCCCTGGGTGTGGGGACACAAAGGGGCCTGTGTGCCCCAGCCTGGCACAGGCCTTGCATTCTCTTACTCTGAGCTCACTGGGACAGGAGAGGGCCTGGAGGAAAGGGGCCTTCCTCCTGGCCCAGAGCCTGGGCTGCCCCCTGCCAGCCTCAGCTGGGAGGTGGTCTCTGCGCTAGTGACCTCAGAGGCCCACCCGTAACTCCCTTCAACCGGGAGAGACGTGGCCGGGGTCGGGGGCTGGGGTAGAGAGCAGTTGAGGGGTGGGAGAGGACAGGGCCCCCTCCGGCCCAAGAAGTGGCAGGAAACAGCTGCAGTGAGCGGGTGTGAGGGGAGGGCACAGAGAGCAGCTGGAGCTGCCACACCACCCCAGCATCCCTGGCCTCTGCCCCCAGGTGTGCCCGGAGAGGTGGAGCAGCCGGCCCCAGAGCTGGTGGAGGTGGAGGTGGGCAGCACAGCCCTTCTGAAGTGCGGCCCCTCTCATTCCCGCGGCAACGTCAGCCACGTGGACTGGTTCTCGGTGAGGGCTTGGACCAGAGAGGGCAGCAGGGGCAAGAGGCTGCTCCCCTCTGTCGTCCCAGGGTGCTCACTGCCCCTCTGCACCTCCCCTCAGGTCCACAAGGAGAAGCCCACGCTCATCTTCCGCGTGCGCCAGGGCCAGGGCCAGAGCGAACCTGGGGACTACCAGCACCGGCTCAGCCTCCAGGACAGGGGCACTACTCTGGCCCTAACACACGTCACCCCCCATGACGAGCGCGTCTTCCTGTGCCAGGGCAAGCGCCCTCGGTCCCAGGAGCACCGTGTCCAGCTCCGGGTGTACAGTGAGTGCCCCTTCCGGCCTCGCGGGCGGCGTGCACCGTGGGAAGGCTGGTCGCATGCCCCTCCTCACCTCTCCCCCTTGCAGAAGCTCCGGAGGAGCCGAGTATCCAAGTCAATGCCTTGGGTATTTCCGTGAACAGCAAGGAACCTGAAGAGGTGAGATAGGCCAGGGCAGCCAGGTGGTGACCGGAGCTACGGAGGGGCTTGGCAGGTCTGCGAGGCCGGAGACTCACGCCCTGTCCTCCTCAGGTTGCTACCTGTGTGGGGAGGAACGGGTACCCCATTCCTCAGGTCATCTGGTATAAGAACGGCCAGCCCCTGAAGGAGGAGAAGAACCGTGAGTCCCCTCAGCCCTTAAGAGCTCTGCATACAGCACCACACGGGCGCCGCTTTGCATAGTCTCTCTCTCCTTTTTAAGAACACAGTGATGCTTGTGAATATTTTCATAAGAACTTAAAATGTACAGAAAACCTAGAAGGAACATTTCCTCCCTGCCCCAGACCCCCTCCCAGAAGTGCTTTCTGCTCTCAGTATGTTCTATCAAGACTGTTTTCGTGTACTTGCTCACACATGTAAGTATATGAATATATAGACTTTTGTTGTTATTATTTAAATCAGTGGTTCTCAACCAGAGGTGATTCTGATCCCCCTCTGGGACATTTGGCAATGTCTGGAGATGGCTGGGTTGTCACAGAGAGATGCTACTGGCATGGAGTGGATAGAGGCCAGAGTCGCTGCTAAATATCTTAGAATATGCTGGACAGCTCCCCTAACAAGGAATTACCTGGCCCCAAACGTCAGTAGTGCCGGCAGGCATTAGGACACCCTGACCTACAGGGTATATGGTGTGGCACACGTTGTTATATAGTTTTGTTTCTCTTTTGACAGTGAGTCTTGGAAATCTTTCCAGGTCAGTCTGTTTAGGCCTGATTGTTTTGCCTACTGCCCAGTATCCCACAGGATGGACAGAGTGTAGGTAATTAACCATTCACTCCTGTCAGCAGACAGCCAGGGTATTGTTGCTCATTGCTCTTTTTTAATCCCTGCAGCGCTGTTTGCACAAATCCTTGTATATGTGCCCCTGTGTGTGTGTTTGGGGTGAAAACCAGCAGTACACCTGTGAGCTTGCCCTGTCCCAGGCCCTCTACAGGAGGCAGGGGTCCCTCTGGACACTCCCCCTGCCAACACCCCGGGAGCTCAGGAGGTGGGGCTGGAGGTTGGGCTGAGGCCCCCGTCTCCACTTCCTCCCTGCGCAGGAGTCCACATACAGTCATCCCAGATCGTGGAGTCCAGTGGTTTGTACACCTTGCAGAGTGTTCTGAAGGCACAGCTGGTTAAGGAAGACAAAGATGCCCAGTTTTACTGCGAGCTCAGCTACCGGCTGCCCAGTGGGAACCACATGAAGGAATCTAGGGAGGTCACTGTCCCTGTTTTCTGTGAGTTTTGGCCCCTTGCGCTGGGGCTGGGTGGGATATCCTGAGAGCTCCTTCCCACCCAGCACAGGGGGCTCTTGGGCTGAGAGCTCCCCCCTTCACCTGTGCAGACCCGGCAGAGAAAGTGTGGCTGGAAGTGGAGCCTGTGGGCCTGCTGAAGGAAGGGGACCGTGTGGAAATCCGGTGTCTGGCTGATGGCAACCCACCACCCCACTTCAGCATCAGCAAGCAGGTGCGGAGGGCCTGTGCTGGGCGCAGCCGGGGGTGCAGGGGAGACTGGAGGTGCGCCCAGCTCACCGCTTCATCCGCTCCCAGAACCACAGCACCAGGGAGATGGAGGAAGAGACCACCGACGACAATGGCGTCCTGGTGCTGGAGCCCGCCCGGAAGGAGCACAGCGGGCTCTATGAGTGCCAGGGCCTGGACCTGGAGACCACGGCGTCACTGCTGAGCGACCAGCAGGAGCTGCTGGTGAACTGTGAGGGGCGGGGCACCAGGACGGGGCCCAGGCTGGGGCAGGAGGGACTGTGCCCCGCCCCGTCCTGCCCGGGCTGACACTACTGCTGTGTCCCCAGATGTGTCCGCTGTCCGGGTGAGCCCTGCGGCCCCCGAGAGCCAGGAGGGCAGCAGCCTCACCCTGACGTGTGACGCAGAGAGCAGTCAGGCCCTGCAGTTCCAGTGGCTGAGAGAAAAGGTACTCACTGGGCCCGGAGCTGCGGGGCAGGGGGCTGTGGGGTGGGGTGCGGTGGGAGTGGCCCTCTGATCCATCTTTCACCCCAGACAGGCGACGTGCTGGAAAAGGGGCCTGTGCTCCAATTACACAACCTCAAAAGGGAGTCCGGGGGAGGCTACCGCTGCGTGGCATCCGCACCCAGCGTGCCTGGCCTGAGTCGCACACAGCTTGTCAACGTGGCCATTTTTGGTGAGGCTCTCTGGACAGGGATCAGGGCGCCCCTTGAAGCCACCCCAGGGTGGGTGGCTTCGAGCTCTTTGAGGACAGAAAGCCACCCACTGCCCTGCAGTGCTCTGGTGGGGCCAGGGAGGCAGGCTAGCAGCTTGCTGCCTCACCCTTCCCCCTGCCTCCCCAAGGATCCCCATGGATGACAATAAGGGAGAGGAAGATGTGGGTGAAAGAGAACGAGGTGTTGAACCTGTCTTGCGAAGCGTCAGGACATCCTCGGCCCGCCATCTCCTGGAATGTCGCCGGCACAGTGAGCAGACACATCTCACCTTCCCGAGCCCTCCTTCACCCCTGCCCGGGCTCTGCTGCCACGGCAGGACGTCCTCCCCACCCTCTGCCCCGTAGGCAAGCGAGCAAGACCAAGATCCGCAGACTGTCCTGAGCACCCTCACTGTCCCTGTGACCCCGGAGCTGCTGGAGACGGGTGCTGCATGTGTGGCCTCCAACTCCCTGGGCAAAAACCGCACCGTCATTTTCCTGGAGTTGGGTAAGGGGCTCGTCCTGGGCAGCGGGGCAGGGGAAGGCGCGGCAGTGACGCGGGCTCCCTAAGCCACCTCCCAATCCCTTTAACGGCTCTCACACCAGCCTCCAACAGGACCACCGGCCCCAGCACCTCCACGGCCAGGCCTCATGGCAGGGCCAACAGCACTTCCACAGGTAAGCCTCCTGGCGCGAGAGCAGGGCTGTGCCTGGGCACCCTCATTCTGCCCTGACCTTCCCTGGAGCGCCCTGGCGAGAAAGGTGAGCTGCGGCTCACCTTCCATCAGCCCTCAGCTGGGTGGGGCAGCCACGGAACCAGGCGCAGCCGGGGGCAGTGAGTGACCAGGAGTGTCTTTGTGGGACAGAGAGAAAGCTGCCAGAGCCTGAAAGCAGGGGTGTGGCCATCGTGGCTGTGACCGTGTGTGTCCTGGTCCTCGCCGTGCTAGGCGCTGTCCTCTATTTCTTCTACAAGAAGGGCAAACTGCCATGCGGGCGATCAGGCAAGCAAGAGATGTAAGCGTGGTACCCAGTACCCAGGGCCCCCACCCCATCTCGCGCTGCCCGGCCTGCTGCCTCCTCAGGGATGTCTCCTGCCTGCCCTGGTGCCCACACGCCCTAGGAGCAGGAGGGTCCGGGATGCTGGGTCCGAGTGCTCCCCGCTTCACTGCCCACTAGCCTGCTGCCATCAACCGCTCCTTCTCCCTTTCATTCATCACCGTTTCCTGCCCTGTGCCGGCCCCAGAGTGCCCAGGGCCCACCACCCAGTCCAACATCTTTCCCAGTGACCGTCCCCTTCCGTGGCCTCTGAGTTGCCAACCTCTTGCCTCCCTCCCAGCACACTGCCCCCGTCTCGTAAGAGCGAATTTGTAGTTGAAGTTAAGTCAGATAAGCTCCCAGAAGAGATGGGCCTCCTACAGGGCAGCAACGGTGACAAGAGGGCTCCAGGAGACCAGGTAGGAGGCTGCTCCCGGGGCCAGTGCCTGACCCCCCTGCAGGGGCCGTGGCAGCAGGGGCTGGGGGTTCTCGTCCCCACGGAACACTAACTCCTTCTCTCTGTTGGAGGTGGGGAGCAGGCCCGTTTCGCCTTTCTAACACTACTCACAGATGGTAGGGCAAGGCAACCCTGAGGGACCCTGGAGAGAGGGTAGCTCCCGAGACTGAGCGCAGAGACCCTGTCCCATTGTCACCTGCTCCTGGCCAGTGCTGGGGCTCAGGCTGTGAAGTGTGGCCCAGTCTCTGCTGCCCACCTTGCTTCTTCCCTCCTGGCTGCTACACCTAGTTCATCAGCTTCTGCTAAGGCCCCTCTGGCCCGCAGTGCTCACCCCTTGAACCCTGGCCCATCTCCACGTTCCCCTCTTACTTCTCTTTGTCCATTTCTAGGGAGAGAAATACATCGACCTGAGGCACTAGCCCGCTAGTCACACGGAGCTGCTCCCCTGCCCGGAACCTTTCCTGCTCCCTGCTTATTCCGTTCCCCAGCACTCAGGATGGCGCAGCCTCTGAGTGGCCCCCGAGAAGCCCCCTGCAGAGGGTGGGTGGCTGGGGCCAGAGCCCTCCCTGAGGCCCCTCTTCAGGGACCATCCCACCACCGTGTCAATTTGAGGGGCTCCCCCCAAGGAGGGGTCTCATATCCCAGGGTGCACAGTCGTTTCTTGCAGAACATGGATATAAACACGGTCATCTACCAGCAGCCTAATTAGGTAGCCCATTTCTCTCATGCTGGGTTCCTGCCCCAAAGGCTGGCTTCATCCTCCCATGGCATCACTGAAGTGAGGATGTGCACAGCTTGGGCCGCCCTCCACCCTGCAGTGTTGCTCACACCAGTTCTGGAGAGACCCCAGCAACTGCCTGCCTGCCTGTTTCTGGACACTCCTTTCTCTGGGCAGAAGTCAGCAACTGGTGCCATTCCTGAAAAGATAACGCTGGGTGTACCTCATGTCCCTGCAGTGAGAAAGCTGGGCACTGTTCTTCAGAGTTAAGGCCATTGAGCCCAGGCCTCCTGCATTCATTTGGTTTCCACTGCCTTTTCAAGGGATCATGTAAGGCTGGAAGGTGGGGTTAGAAGACAAGGCACAGACTGTCTTTCGTGGAGTTTAAGGCCACGGTTATACTAGCACCAAACACCTACAAACTTGAGCTAATGGGCCTAGATCCTAGCAGAAGGACCCTAATGGGAGAATGGTACTTAGGGGTGAGAAACAGGCTTGGCTGGAGCTTTGGGGCGAGTGTGTGTATCTATGCGTGTCTGTGGATATGTATATGGTTTTGTTAGGCTGTTAATTTTGCAAATTGTTTCCTTTATATATATATATATATATATATGAGAAATAAAGCTTAATTGTCCCAGAAGCCTTCCCCTGCTGTTTATTCCTCATGGGCACCCCCGCAGCCTAGGGCTGCCAGAACTGGAACCAACCTAAAAGGACCCTTTGCAGTTGGGAGCAGTGCTTTTCCAGGGGTTCCTCTGCTTCCCAGCACGGGGCTCAGGCTGTGCTGCAGAGGAGGACCGCCCTACTTCTCCACACAAAGCTGCCCCGCCCTGGGCAGCTGGTGGGGCTCCAGTGCAGAGCTGCTGTGATGCGCTGAGTGGGCCTGGGCCCCTGCCCCAGAGCTATCAGTGCATGGCTCCCCGACCCCGTGAATGAGCAGGAACTCAGGTCTGCTACATCAAAAGAAACTTTATTTAAAAATATTTTTTTACGGATCTGGGTGCTTGAAAAAGCTCTTTAGTTAATTGTGTATGGAAATGAAAAAAATTAATAAATAACATTAGTATAACAGACTTCTAAACATTAATACATTGGCAAAACAAAATGGACTTAAAATGAAAATGAATCTTAAAGCTCTGCTATTCTCTGTAAGAATATTTACCTTCTGTTTTTCTTATTCTTTACAGGTGAGAATGATTAAATACTGCTAATATAAATTTTTTTTATATTAATGACACATTTTTAAAATACTCCACAAAAATCTCATCTAGGTTTTTGTTTTATGTTTAACACTGATATACAAATTGGGACTCTTCATTCTGGAGAGAGCATCAAGTTCTCTCCAGCCCCACCCAGGACAAGAATGTCAAAATCCTAAATAAGGAGGGCTTTAAAAAGAACTGTTCCTACCTCCCAATTCTTTATTAGTTAAAAGCAGGGAAGAGCCGAGAAAAGGGAAAAGAGATAAGTAAAATGTCATTACATAGAACACATTTTTTTTTTAAGCCAAAAACCTAAACTGGCCACAATACTGAGGACAGGCTTCTGGCACGCGGTCCTTGTTGCCTTTCCAGGGGAAACCAGACCCTGAAGGGGGCACTAGGTGCTTAATGCTCTGAGACTGACGCCTCCAAATGACCGGGAAGCCGAGTCTGAAGAGAGGCAGGAGGGCGGGGCCAGTTCAGGATCCGGCGAGAAGAAGAGCCGAGAGCCAGCTCCCTTTCGGGAGAGTCCACCCTGCGCCATTCCATGCAGCTGGGTCATTAATAGGAGGAGGCCACGACGCTTGAAGCGGTCCGCAGTATGCCTGGAAATCATGGGACACTCCGTCCCATCTTGCTAGAGACAGGACATTCAACCTGAAAGGAACCAACCAAATCCCAGGGTGCGATGCTCATTTCTTCCAACTAAGCATCATGGCAGGGAGGAGGGACCGCTGACGTGCCACCCCCATGAGCCACCTCTCCAGCCGCACAGGGCACTTCGTCCTCTCCCCTAGACTGTAAGGACTAATGAATGACACTCAAGGTAGAGGAGCTAAGACTGGTGGTATTTCCATATTAAGTCCTAAAATGCAGCCTGGGATACAGTGCTGCCTTAGAAAGGCACAAAATGTTTAGCTTTTTTTTTTTCAGTGTGCTAAAAATTGTTTTGTTTTGAATAAAGGAAATAGATATATAAGGTTAAAAATCCCAAGTCACCATAGCCAGAAAGCAGATGTAGGAGGTACCTCATAGCTGCCATGCCCCTGCCGCATGTTTCAGCAGGAGGTCAAGGCCCAGACACTACAGCCACGCTGAGGAGGGAAGCTCAGGGGCTTCTGCTCTCAGGGGCTTCTGCTCTCACGGGCAGGGCGCCTGCAGGCTTACTCACCGGACAGCAGGAGGAAGCCAAGGAGGGAGAAACTTGGTTTTACAGATTCTTAGGTAGTTCTCTGCCTCTTCAGCTTCAAGACAGCCGTAAGCCTGGTGACTCTCAACCCTAACAGGGTCAGAGGTAGGGAGGGAGGGGGGGAACTGACACAGGACACACAGGAGTGCCAGGCTCAGGCGCACAGCACACCCCACGTCAGGGCCAGAGCCTGGAGCTGGTCTGGTGCAAGGCCTGAGGAGGTGCACATAGCATGACTGAGAAATCCTCTCTGGCCTCCCCGTCTGGTTCAGGGGTGGAAGGAAAGCATGTGAGAGGCAATGTGGAGGGCACCCCTTACATTCATTTTTGGGATTGAATCAAGGATACAGGGCCAGGCAATCGGGAATCTGATTTGTTTGGTGGCAAAATCCGGAGATCTGGGCTTGCATATGAACAGAGAGAGTGGTTAGCCACCTTCCTCCCCAGTGTTACACAGGGTAGAGGCAGGGGAGCTCCAAGCAGTTCTTCCATTAGTCAACGGGCCGGCCCTAGGCAGGGAGCTTGCAGGGTGCTTGGTCTGAACGTGAACAAGCCTCCAGGCAGGGCTTGCTCGCCCAGCCCTATTCCCCACCTCTTACTCTCGTCCTACTTTTGACCCAAAACACACTGGCACTTCCCCCTTGAAGCCAACCCAGGCTTCCCAGGACACTGCAAAGGCACGTGGCAACTGCTGCACCGCCGCTCCTCAAACCTGGAGCCCAGACTGGGACAGCAAATGTGAAGCGTGACGACCCCACCCTGCACCCACCGTGAGCCGCAAAGCCCGTCTTTGGGTCTAGGTTACTCCTGTGCACACCAAACAACTCCAGTAGTTTAAAAAGGTTGTAGGGAATTATGAAACGCCTCAACAACATAGGACGGGCTCTAGGATGAGACCAGTAAGATGAAAAGCCTCAGGCAAGCAGAAGCAGTTTTAAAAAAATAAAAAAATAAAGGCTTTAATATAGGACAACACAGCAATCGGACAGGGACGACAGAGGTATCCTGTCTAAAAAGCTCTCAGTAAAAACTATTCTAAACTTGAATCCATATTTAATTTATATCCTGGCAACTGTCCCAACTATTATATATTCTTACTGGCCACAGCAGAGTAGGTCTGAGGCACCTGAGAGGCTGGCCTACAAGGGTGTGACTCCGGAGACCCCCTCGCGGAAGGCCGAAGGAGAGCGTGAGCAGGATGGGGAGGGGGACGCAGGCCACAGGCCCACTGATGAATATTTTTTTCAGTGCTAAAACCTGAAGAGCGCCCAAAAGTCCATGGGTGGCTACACTGGGATTTGCGATCTGCTCCCTAAATAATATGCAAGGCAGCTAAAAACCTGAGACTGGATAAAGGCTGAGAAGTGTCACCTAAGGACAGACTAGCTCCGGAACAGGAGAAACTGGTCCTCAAGAGGGAGGTAAAAAATCTTGGATGCCAAGACTGATATGGGAAATCAAAATAGGAAATGGAGAAACAACAGCAGCAACCCAAATTAAGTTCAACCTAAGAATTTCCTCACTGGCCCATGTACAGTCCCATGCCCGCCCTTCCACTCTCAAAAGAGCAGTGCAACAGCTTTACTACAAAGAGTTTTCAGGGTACCTAGCCCATCCCCATCTTCTTCTCGGAGAACCCCCGCCATCAACGACCTGCAGAAGCATGCCACTGTTGCCCTGTGGGGCAAGGCTGCCTGGCCAGGGGTAGATGCCCACCAGTGTGCTGGGCTGATCCCATCCTTTCTGTAGAACATGACAACCCAGAAGAACTGGGGATCTGTTAATGGTGATCCCTGGACCTGCCTATTTTGGGGCCGTGCACGCCAACAAACAGACTGACAAGCAGGAGCAAGCAATAGGTGCCGCGGTTCATAGGTCCAGCTCCGAGGCGACTGTACTTCTTGCGCTGGGTTCTGTGAAACACCCTTTGACACCTTTCTTTAGCTTGAATATTTCTGTTTCTTGCACCCAAAGGATTCTTACAGAGAACAGTCAAAAGACCTTGACTTTCTTCTGCTACGCACCCTCCTCCATGCTTTAATGGCTATATGCATTTCTAAAGAAAGTCCGCTAAGGAAGACTGAGATCAAAGTGGTGGTGGCCGAAGCTTTACCCAGCACTACAGAGCACTTCAGATTGCATTTCTAAAGCCTGAAAGTCTAGGCGTGATGGGCTGCTCATTCTGATGCTAAGTTCTCGGGTCTCTAAGCTGTCCATGCTTCCTACCCTGGGAGGGAAAGGCGGCAATTTGGAGAACTGACTGAGTTTACCTATTTTCCTGCCTGGCTCTTAGGAGACAAAAGAACCGGTTAAAGATTGAGACCCAAAGACAGGCATCCACCCCTCCTCCACATCTTCAGTCCTTCTAAGGCACACAGGGTTAGCTACTGGAGGGCTAGAAAACAAGTTCCAAGCAGAATGGGAAATGGTGACAGGTTCCAGAAGGGTAACAAGGAAACTTCCCAACCAGGGGGATCAGGGACACAAGCAGCTCAGGAGAAAGACCAAGGAGGGCACTGGGCTGGAGGGGCTGTGGGCGGGCGCTCTGCTCAAACATTTAACTGCCCTGTGTGCAACTCCGAGCCAACATACCCCTCAATCCACCAATCAGGTACCACTGAAATACATAAAAGCGGTGGGTATCCATGAGATTTACATTGAGGAATCAGACATTATCAAAGCTACAGGAAGACCAAGGGGTTAATGGGAGTCTTGAATTGATTTTAACCAGGACAGCTCTATAAGGAAATATTACTTCTACATAAAAGAGCTGTGAATAAAACTGCATAATCTTATTGGGAAGGGCGCTTGTAGGGCCAAATGCAAGTGCTGGGCTGCCCGAGAACAATCCCCCAGCGTCAGTCAATCACCACGGGGCGGCAGGGGAGAACACAGAGCTGACACTTCCCGCACAGGGTAGTCACTCACGGACATGTGCTGAATGAAAGCGCGAACTGTCACACCGCCAGCCAATGGTGGGAGCACTGCAGCTCCAGGGCAGTGGTCACTGCCGTCAGGCCAGTGGCAAGAAGGGAGACTCACAAACAGCTGGGGAAGAAGGTCTACAACCCTGACAGTCACGAAGTGAGGTAGGAAATACTCTGCGTCGAAACCATGGCCGATCGCCCACAAGAAGGTCTAGGTCCTGTTAATGTGCCTTAAAGGGAACAGATACCTGGTCCCTATTTTGCAAGGAAATTTACAAACATTCACTTGTAAGTTTGTTGTTTGGGCCATAAAATATATTTTGCTTTTCTATAGAGGAAATAAACACTTTAAGATGAACAGCGACCCTCTCTCCCTGCCACCACCTTCCAAAATTTTTTTAAACTCACCAGCACAGCTACATGACACTAGCAGTACTCCCCCCACCCGGGCCTGGTGGTGCGTGTGTGGGGAGGGAGTGAGCAGAACAGAAGAGCCCAGTGAGCAGAGGGGGGCGGCGAGGGGAAGAGAACGGCTACCCACAGGCCCAGACCACTGTCTACATGGATACTGACAGATACACGCTGAGATGACGAACTGCGCGATCCGCTATTTACCTGAAGGAAGTGCGTCACAGAGTCCCCGAGGTTTTTCCACTTTGAGAACCCCCTCTGTTTGAGTGGAAGGAGTATGGCAGGGGCAGCTGATGACGTATTGTGAAGCAGCCGCCCAGCAACGGGGCAAGCTTTGTACAGCAAGCCGAGAAGACACAGGGAAAGCAAGAGATGGAGACTGGGTTTAGTAGAATAGCCCAAGGCATTGGAGAAAAAGGAAAACAGCCAAGTGGTTTTCACCCTACCTTTCTGATAGTTAACAGAGAAAAAACCATGTGTAATTAGTAAGGAAAAAGGAAATGGGTTTACCAAAAATGGCAAAACTCAAAATAAAGTCCTCTTGTGAAAGGGCAATTTTGGTTAAATTCAGAGCAGAGCCAAAGAACCGAACACTGCCACAGAGACAGAGGATGAAGAACGGGTAGTTGGTGCCTTGGTCAGAGGGAATTTTCAGAAATAAAAGTTGGGGAAATATCCTCCAAACAGCCAAGTGGAGCGCGCCTGAGGCTCACCTGGGAATCTTGAGTATGGACCCAGTCATGTCTTAGAAAAAGCTTTAGTTCCAACAATAACAAGAAAGCAAAGAAAACAGGCCTAACGAGAGTCATTTCTGTCAGGATCTAAGTCAAAGAAAAAAGCCCTCAAAGACTGGTCAAAAAGCTTGACAGCCTGCAGACACAGAGGCCGAGCTAGGACCAGGCCGATCAGTGGGGCACGCGTTCCACACAGGCATCTGGCATCCCAGTGTCCGGGCTGATCCTGGTACTTAGCCAGGAAAAGAAAGGATGAACTTGCCCTTCGCCTAGGTAAAGGACATAATCTCCAAAGAGGATCTTAAGGGCAACGGAAGGCCAAACGACAGGCACAGAACCAGTGCTTTGTTCTCCTGGTTTTGGGCAGCTATGTGCACACAAGGAAGCTGCCGCCCTCTTTTCTAGCTTTGTCTAGGCCTCTGACATCGCGACAAAAGGAAAACTGCATGCTACCACAAAGGAAAGAAACGCTAGGCTGGCTTGCCGGAGGTCTGGGTTCCCGGTTCCCACGCTCCGCCCCTGCCCCCGCCCCTGCCCCTGCCCCCTCCCCAACTCGCTGCCCGGCTCAGGCCCTCTGCTGCACCTGACAGTGGCTGCAGGGTTCTCTGACACACAGAGACATGGGGTGATCATGGCGAATCAACGAGAACGGAAATGGCAAGAGGATAAAACCAAAGGATGCAGAACAGCTGAAAGCCAAGAGCAGAGCTGGAAAGTTTTAGTTCCAAAGATGACAAGACGGGAAAGGGCGCAGACCTAAGGAGAGTCCTTTCTGTCTGTATCTACAGACAAAGACATGATTTAGATTCTGAGGAGGGGAGATCTATCAAAGAGCAGCTTTGCCTCTGACAAGGAGGGTTTCACCCTGCTGGGGCAGTCGGCAAAAGGCTCCGGGCAGAGAGCCCAGCGACACCGCAGGGTCCTTCGGCGTGTGTACAGGAGCCACGCTGGTGCTCCACCCTGGACGCTGCACCTTCCTCACGAGCCTGCAATCACACGGGCACACTGCCTCTGCCTGCAGGGACGTCATTCATTACACCAGATGATGGAGAACACAGGCATGAAAGAGCATACAGGACCTCAGGGGAAGAGGAAAGGGGAGGAGATGCTATATTCCCCAAACCATAGGCACAAGAGAACACCACGTCAGCAGATGGCCCCGACGATGCAGTTGGGTACTAATTATCGGCAAAATGTCAGGCTACCATGAGTGGCAGCCCCATCTCTTAAAGGGCAAAGAAAAAAACATGAATGAAAATATAACCTGGCTCATGTTCAAAGGGAGGCAGGCACCCATATAAGTTGGAATTAATTCACTGGGAAGAAAACTGACTAGATAAATCCCTATTGTCTATTTTGTGCATTTTATGTATAACAATGTAGAAAACATGTGAATGAAGCTTCATGGTATTTGGGCCAGAAAGCCATGCTGCTAACAAATTTTATTCCTTTCCTATTAGGTAGAAAAACTCATGACTGACATGGGAACATACACCCGACTCCTGGGCAGCTGCCCCCCGCAGACTGTTTTCTGGGGAGGGTGTGGAATGTACCTGCAGGCCTCTATCGCAAAGCAGTCGTCATGTGATCAGGATGATCAAAACACCTTCCTTCAACAGATCCGATGCTCCTTCAACAGAAGCACTTCAACAGAAACAGTGCTTTGGAGTGGCCAGTGTCAGCCGCTATTATCAAGCAAGACCATAATAATAGAGCAACAGTACTTTTCCTCACCTACCTACCAACAAACCAACTCCACCACACAGAATAAAGAACATCCTAACGAATCAAATAACACTTGGCTCCAGGAAGGCTGGTCACAGCAAGCCCACTGTCAATGACAGACACCGAGGAGGAAGGACAGAGGGAGGGTGTTCAGCTATGCACATGATAGTCCAATCGACAGGGGAGTGTTGAAGTTGAGTGTGATACCACAGTAGACGGAAGTCTTTAAAAGATTCCTTCCTAAACCTCTTGTGCTAATTCCATGTCTAGGATTAACACAGACAGCAGGTTAATTTTATAATCACAAGATACACACAACCATACACAGACACACACACACACACACAACCACATCCTTAACCCAGGGAAAGTCTAAAGTCCTCGATTCAGATTTACAGCACAGTATTTCTCCTGCTTTCTGGACTGCTCCCCAGGCAGGCTACCATTTAGTAAAAATCCACTCAAAGTGGGGGCTGCAGGACACTCTCAAATGCACTTTCAGAACAGGTCAGATAATAAAACCTACTAGCTGCTCCATTTCCATGCCACTGCTCTGAAATCTTGGAACCACAGGTGTGATATCCCACAGACAGGGCAAGACGTCATTGGGAGGCCCCCAACGGAGCCTCTGCTCCTCCACGTGCTACCCGCGTGGGCGCTCCTGGCGCTCCGGTCCTCACGCTGTGGAGGAGGCACTGTGCTAGGTGGCTACATGGGCAGGAGAGGAAATAGAAACAAATTCCCGGAGGATATTTTTGGCCATTTCAATGTTGTTGTGGGCAATGACCAAAGCTTTCTGGATGTCCTGATAGGAGTACCCCTGACTCAGGAGGCTCTCGATCTCACTGGAGAGCTGTGGTGAGGCAGCAGCACCTTGCTGGCAGCTCCCCGCTTTTCGTTCAGAGTTGATTCTCCGAGGGAATGGTTTGGGAGGCCTCTCAGGAACTTGGGAACCCTCAGTGAAGTCTAAAAAGAGGGAAGAAAATATTTGCAAATCTGGGGGAATCCTCACTAATGGTCCTAACAATGTGCTGAGGTCAAGCTGCGATGGACCGCCTGTCGGCTGGGTCCCGGTGCTCTTCAGTCCCAAGGCTAGGTTTACGGGTTCCAGGGCTTTACCCTCCCTCTCACAGCAGGAGCAAGGGCGACCGTCTGAATACACACGCACCTGCTCCCCCAACAGCAGCTCCTGCTGGCAGAGGCACCAAAGCCCAGCACTGGCACCGTGTTTACGCTCAGCAACAAGTTTTCACACACATAACTGCCTGATTTTTTTTTTAAATTTCTGAGTGGGCCAGAGAAGACTCTAAATGTCTCCTCTTACAAATATGCAAACAGAAAAATAAGCCCAAGTTGCAGGAGAAGGGCACTAAGCAAGGGTGGGTGGGGATCACCACCTGTTTGGGCAACTGGATGCTGTTGATCTTTTCCACCAGCTGTCCTGAGGCTGTCTTCAATTTCCAATTCCAGAGCAACTCTGGTTGCTGCCCTCCCTGGCAGACACAGGTGCAAGGATGACCGGCCCGTGACAGTCAAGGCCCAAACGTGGGCTGGCTCCGGGCCCTGTCAGGGGGCTTTAGAGCCAGCACGCCTCCTTTCCAATGGGACAGGGGCCGGAAGAAGGAATGTGTGGTCTGACCCATCAGGCTTAATTAGCACTGGCATACTGCACACACTCAGAAGAGCCAGAAACCCGCCCACCACCAGCACAGGAGGAGTCACGATTCACAGAGCAACTCAGAAATTTCTGAGTCTGACTACAATTTAACTTCCTAGTTTGGGAAAGCTTAACTTTCCTCCTATCACACATAATTTTTAGACCTACTACTTCCACCTACAAACTTTCTGTCACCAAGCAGTCTTCTCGGTTTCAGAACAAATTAGGAACCATTCAGCAATTCAGCACAAACCCAAGGCTGCCTGGAGACTCACCTGATGTAGGGTCACTTTCCAGAGACAACCATCCGAAGGAGGAGCTGGCGTTAGAGATGTCTGAGAGGGTCCGGCGGGCCAGCACGGCTGGCACAGGGGGCTTGGGGACATCATAGCCGCCGTCCTCCTCCTCCTCGGACCCCTCAGGGCCTGTGCTGGCGTGGGCCGCGGCCGGGTTCCCTTCACCTGGAGAGAAGTTTGTGCAGTTAACTTCTAACATACTTCATCTTCCAACAAAGTCCATCACACGAGTACAGAATCAAACAGTTACCCAGTGCCTATCATGAGCCAAACACCATGTGAGGGCTCTGGGATAGAGAGAAAAGAAACAGAAAATAAAATCTGCACCCATCCTGCAGTTCTGCTTTCTGAACATGTCAAAGCTGCCTGTACCAGCTTCAAAGCGTCTGAAGCCAAGGACTCCAGGGGCACTTCACAGTGTTCATTCAACATTTCCATCTGTACCTCACGTCGGGAGACCAGCCACAGGGCCCTGTGTGTGCTGCCTTCTGAACATTCAACTGGGTAAGCTCATTCATACGGGACTGAGCATTCTCCACCCACCCACACACAGAATTTCATCACTGCTGACATGCAATGGGAATGAAACGGAGCTGCTAGAACTGCAGGGCCAGACCATGTGACACAAATGTCTCTGACCCTGGAAGGATGAAAGCGCACCAAAGGAAGTAGCTGCGTACACAGGAAATGGAAGAGGGGATTCCACTGACCATGGATCAAAGATATTTTGCAAAGAAAACTATTTAAAAGTACTTTCTGCCTACATCAAGCAATCTCATCAGCCCAATATTACATACAGGTTCATCCCTATGGTACATCAGTACTTTTTCAAGTAGCAGAACAGTAACTCACCAGAGGTGCTGCCTTCCGTGACCACTGGCACCGCCTGGGACTGAATATTACACATGGCTTCGTACGTACAGCTGTCAATCTGCTGGTCACAGTCACATGCTCTGAACGGGAAGGGAAGTGGTACAATGACCTTCAGAACAGAACTCTGCTATCTGCTTACTTACTGCATTCATCTAGCCACAGCTACCCCAGACTCTGATTCTACCAAGGGAACACGTTCTCCATTTTGCCAGTATCACTAATAAATGTCATAACATTGACTCTTTGATGAGCACTAGATGTGTGTGGTTTTGAAATTTCTGTGATGTTGAGGAAACCTAAGTGGAATTGTTTACAGCTCTAAGAGGCTTAAACATTAGGAGCCAGATACACCTTTCTGCCTTAATTCTGGCTGGATGCCACCATGTGCAGGAAGGGAGCCAAGCAGGTGAGAGGTGTTCGATGAATGCCCAAACCGGACTGCTGTGAACCTACCGGGGACTGTGCGCTGTCTCCAGAGGCCGCCTCACATCTGGCTTTTGAAGTCCTAGAGGCCTGGAGGAGGGAGTCATGTACTCGGAGTCCTCCTCACCTTCACACCGCTCCCCAGGCGGCAGCTTTGGCATGGGAAGAGGCCTGGGAGATGAAGAATTAAAAAGAGAAAAAGGAAACAAAAGAATCAACTACAGCCAGAAAACCTGCAAGTGTGAAGTGGCTCGAACACAGACCACAACTCGAACCTGACGTACAAAATAGATGCCACCTAGGGAGCTATTATTTCTTAGGACCAAGATCGGTAATGATTAAAAAACATACTAACTTAAATGTTCACTTTCAGCTGACCAAAGGTGTGGCTATTATGTTTGAGATGTGTTATTACACTGGGGTAGTACTTGATACCACTTAGTCTCAGTCCCCAAATAAGTTGAGTCCCAGTCCAAGAGCTAGAATGCCTGTTTGTCAAAATACGCAGCTTGTCAAAATCTTTCTCATATATCATATATTATCTAACAGCACAAACCCTTTCTCTTCTCATTTTATGTAAGAAAAACGTAAAATATAAAGACATAAAGTTCCTTGGTAGTCTGCATCAATGCTGGGACTAGATCTCAGATTTTCTAACTCCTGCTTCAGGGATCTTGCCATTATATCCAAACATAACTCTCACCCAGAAGTTTTTGCAACAAAACTTCTGGCACTCCACCTCCAGAAACTAGTCAAAGGCAAAAACAAGAACAAAAACAAAACAAAAACCCCATGAAATTATATAAGAAACACGTGTGTGCACACACATACAAAAATTGCTTCTGGGAATGTGAGTTAATGTTTCTTTCCCCTTCCTCTTTATACTTTCTTGGTACCTTCTAAATACTCAGTAATAAGTACCTACTTGATTTGTCTGTTTTTACTTTTCCTAATCATAAAAGCAATAGCTGTTCATTATATAAAACTTAGATGCTTCAGAAACCTAACACAGAGTTACAGTCCCTATAATCTCCCTTGACATTTTTTCTTATGTCTACATATTACTTTTATTAGTTGTGCACTGCATGCAAAAGTTTTGAGGTGGAAGGGTATATTGGTGTGTAAGGGTATGCACCAAAAACGTACGATAGATAGATGCGCCGAAGCACAGATAAATGTGTGCTAAACAAGCAGACAAAATGCTAACAACAGAATCCAGAAGGTGAGTATATGGATGTTCACTGTAAAAATCTTTCACCTTTACTTTTTGAAACTTTTAATAACAAAATGGTAGGGGGGAAAACCCATAAAGATTAAGAAAAAACATCAAGTATCAGTGACAATGTAAGGAAACAGGTACTCCCTTATAGAGTTTTAGAAATAAGAAGTTGGTGCCATGATTGGTGCACATGGTGTGTGTGGGGTCATGGGATAAGACAGCATAGCTCAGAGAAGACAAATAGGGACTCTGTGACATCTCATTACACTGATGGACAGTGACTGCAATGGGATATGGGGAGGGACTCGATAATAAGGGTGAATATAATAACCACATTGTTTTTCTTGTGAAACCTTCATCAGAGTGTATATCAACGATACCTTAATAAAAAAATATTTTAAAAAAGGAGTAAGTTGGTGCTTTTCTGGAGTATAATTCAGCAACAAGTATTTACCCAAACATGTATGCCCTTGGACTCAGAAATCCCACTTCTATGAATTGTCCCTGAGGAAATAATCAAGAATATTCACAAATAATAGTTTACTGAATAAATAAATTTTGAACCACATGTATAAGCAACATATGTGGTCAGCTGTGCCCCTCAGTACCCACAGGTTCCAGGCTGGTGGAGGCCCACTTCCACCACAGTAGGCACAGTAGGTCTATTGTGATCTACTTTACACACTAGGGTTTCACTTAAGTCAGTTCCACTGCTTTGCGGTCATTTGAAATAATCTGAAAATCACTGTAGGAGCAGAATATGTAGCAACATCCTAAGATGTTCAAGATATTCCTAGCAAAACACATCATGTACAATATGATTCCATATAGACAAGAGTGACAATGAACATCCACCAGATTGCTAACTACTGTCTGAATCTAGGTGGTAAGATTATAGGTAGCTTTTATTTCTTCGGTGTCACATATCTGTAATTATGTTTCTAATATTCTTTAATACATATTACTTTCATGAAGAGAAAAAGGTCACTAAAAGGTCAATCAAAAAATGATTATAATTCTATTGATGATGTTAATAAAAATATAAAATTGCACCTCCTCATTAAGCATTCTGGCAATATGTACTTTAAAATGTTCATTCACATGCTTTTGTCACAGTAATTCTACTTTCTCTGCATCTCCAGTTATGTACAAAAATGTTCACTGGAGGAAGTTTATTACAGTAAAAGCTTTGAAACAAATTTAATATCCAACAGGGGAATGGTTGAATATGTGATGTTATAGCCCCATTAAACATTAATACACAATCATTCAAAGTGGGGATTTTTAAATGATTGAGAGAAATGCCCAAAATAAAATGGTAAGTTAAAAAAAAGGGAGAATATAAAACTGTGTCTTTATCTAAAACATACAGACATTTTACCAGTGTTCAGCCATGGCCAAATAGCAAGCATCACCTGAACCCTCTATCCAGCTATGAAAGCAGAATAAACTATACAAGAAAGAAGGCCCTGGAGATCCACCAGGCAGCCACAATTCGAGGGGCCAAGATTCCAGACAGAAGTTAGTGGGGGTATTAGAACTCACAGCACCCAAATAGAACCAACAGAAAGAGTTCTGAACTTGGGGCGTGAGGGTTGGTTTAAACAGGCTGGGGAGAAAGAGACTGGAAATTTGCAGGTACTGTGGTGGTGAAGATGCGAGGGGCCAAAAGTCCTGAAGACGGGAAGTGCAGAGAAAGCAGTTTAAAATTCTGTCTGCAACTTTTCCTCTAGTTACTGCTGATCCCCCAACTATGTATGCCTGGGGCTAGATTATGGGAAACCAAGCAGGAAGTAGCAAACGAGGAGCTCAACAGATACTTTGGTTGTCTTGCCAAGCTCAAGAGACAAGGTCGGAGTTAACAGATATGGCCTTTAAAGTAATTACTTACATGTTCGATAAAAAAGGAGGTTGAAGAATTTTACTAGTAAACAAGAATAATTTTTGAAAATCACATAGGAATTCTACAACCTAAAAAACAGTATCTGAAACCACAAATTCAACAGATGGATTTAGGACAATTAAAAACTGCAAAAAAGAGAAGATTAGAAAACTGGAATATAGCACAAACTATTCAAGTTAAAGTAAGGAGGAAAAGGAATGGAAAACACAGAAATGAGCATAAGAACTATATGAGGCATGGTGACAAGGTCATATTCAGGTAGCTGGAGTCACAGGAGAGGTAGAAGAGAGACTGCACACTATTCAGTCTATTTAAAGAAATACTGGCTGAGAATTTTCTAAAACAGATTAAAAACATCAAACCACAATATCAATCAACTCTACAAACCATAACAAGGATAATAATAAAGAAAACTACATAGAAGTTATAGTAAAAGTACTGGAATCCAAAGACAAAGAGCTCTAGTAAGAAGTCAGAAAAAGAAACATTATCTTTAGAGAAGCAATATTAAGCCTGAGAGCTAATGTCTCAACAGAAATGGAAGCCAAAAGGTAGTGCCAATGATATTTTTAAGGTGCTAAAAGAAAGTGATAGTATGTAACAATACTTCATTTGTTTTCTGAATGATTTAAGAGACTAATGCATTTAAAGGTAAACGTATTCTAGTGTAAAAGCTGGTATTACTGGAACTTTGCTTTGTGACTAAATCTTTTTTCTAGATAACTTAGGAGATAAATGCATTTAAAAGACATACTTTGTTTTCAGGTACACAATGTACAAAAATGTAATTCTCAACAACTGAAAGGGACAGGGACAGAACTGTAAAGGAGCAGAGTTTTTCTACATTACTGAAGTTAAGCTGGTATAAATTCAAATTACAGTGTTATAAACTTTAGGGTGCTAAGTGTAATCCATATGGATTACACAGAAAATAGCTATGGAATATACACAAAAGTAAGTAAGAATTTAAACATTTTGCCACAAAAACAATCAACTAAACACACAAGACAGTAATGCAGGAAATAAGGGACAAAAAAGCCATTAGGACATACAGAACAAATAGCACAAGAACAGCAGTCCCTCCTTATCAGTAATCACTTTAAATGTAAACGAATTAAACTCTCCAATCAAAAGACAGAAATTGGCAGACTGGGTCAAAAATGCATTTATCCTATCGATTATGCTCTCTACAAATGACTCAGCTGAAATCCAATGACACAAACAGGTGAAAGTGAAGGAACAGGAAAAGCTATTCCACGCAAATAATAACCAAAAGAGAGCAGGGGTAGTGGCGGTAATATCAGACAAATAGACTTTAAATCAAGAAAGGTACAAGAGACAAAGGATATTATGTATTAATAAAAGACTTGATACAGCAAGAAGACATAACAATTACAAACATTTGACAGACCATCAAAATATATGAAGGAAAAACGGACAGAACTAGAGGGAGAAATAAATGTTTCCACAATAATATTGGAGACTTCAATACACCATTCACAAGAATGGGTGGCACAACCGCACAGAAGACAAATAAGGAAACAGAGGACTTAACACAATAAGCCAATGAGATCTAACCAACAGAGCGGAACACTCTACGGAACAACAGCATACACAGTCTTCTCAAACGCACATGGGATAGTCTCTAGGCAGACAATATGTTAGGCCACAAATTAAGTCTCAATCGATTAAAAAAGATATACAAAGTATCTTCTCTGACCACAATAGTATAAAATCAGAAATCAATAACGAAAGTAAGACTAAAAATTCACAAAATTGTGGAAATTAAACAATATACTTTTTAATAACCAATGAACCAAGGAAGAAATCACAAGGGAAATTAGAGAATACTTAAAGGTAAATGAAAACACCAATACAACAACATAATAAAACTTATGAGAAGCAGCAAAAGCAGTGTTAAGGAGGAAATTTAAAGCATAAGCAATCCTATTAAAAAACAAGATCTCAAGTCAACAAACTAACTTAGAACTTAAGAAAACAGACAAGGAACCAACTAAACCCAAAGCTAGCAGAAGGAAGGAAATAAAGATTAGAGATAAATGAAATAGAGAAGAGAAAAACAATGGGGAAAATCAATGCCCAAAAGTTGGTTCCTTGAAAAGATCAATAAAACTAACAAATTTATCTAGATGGACTAAGGAAAAGGAGAGAAGACTCAAATTACCAAAATCAGATATTAAAGTGGAGACATTACTATTGATTCGATTCTACAGAAATAAGGATTTTAAGAGTACATCTATACACAGAACTTACTAAGACTAAATCACAAAGATATAGAAAATCGGAATAGACCTATAATTAGTAAAGAGATTGAATTAGTAATTACAAATCTCTCAACAAAGAATAGCACCGTACCTGACAGCTTCACTGGTGAATCCTATTGAACACTTAATGGACTAACACCAATTTTTTTTGGGAGGCCCCCAACGGAGCCTCTGCTCCTCCACGTGCTACCCGCGTGGGCGCTCCTGGCGCTCCGGTCCTCACGCTGTGGAGGAGGCACTGTGCTAGGTGGCTACATGGGCAGGAGAGGAAATAGAAACAAATTCCCGGAGGATATTTTTGGCCATTTCAATGTTGTTGTGGGCAATGACCAAAGCTTTCTGGATGTCCTGATAGGAGTACCCCTGACTCAGGAGGCTCTCGATCTCACTGGAGAGCTGTGGTGAGGCAGCAGCACCTTGCTGGCAGCTCCCCGCTTTTCGTTCAGAGTTGATTCTCCGAGGGAATGGTTTGGGAGGCCTCTCAGGAACTTGGGAACCCTCAGTGAAGTCTAAAAAGAGGGAAGAAAATATTTGCAAATCTGGGGGAATCCTCACTAATGGTCCTAACAATGTGCTGAGGTCAAGCTGCGATGGACCGCCTGTCGGCTGGGTCCCGGTGCTCTTCAGTCCCAAGGCTAGGTTTACGGGTTCCAGGGCTTTACCCTCCCTCTCACAGCAGGAGCAAGGGCGACCGTCTGAATACACACGCACCTGCTCCCCCAACAGCAGCTCCTGCTGGCAGAGGCACCAAAGCCCAGCACTGGCACCGTGTTTACGCTCAGCAACAAGTTTTCACACACATAACTGCCTGATTTTTTTTTTAAATTTCTGAGTGGGCCAGAGAAGACTCTAAATGTCTCCTCTTACAAATATGCAAACAGAAAAATAAGCCCAAGTTGCAGGAGAAGGGCACTAAGCAAGGGTGGGTGGGGATCACCACCTGTTTGGGCAACTGGATGCTGTTGATCTTTTCCACCAGCTGTCCTGAGGCTGTCTTCAATTTCCAATTCCAGAGCAACTCTGGTTGCTGCCCTCCCTGGCAGACACAGGTGCAAGGATGACCGGCCCGTGACAGTCAAGGCCCAAACGTGGGCTGGCTCCGGGCCCTGTCAGGGGGCTTTAGAGCCAGCACGCCTCCTTTCCAATGGGACAGGGGCCGGAAGAAGGAATGTGTGGTCTGACCCATCAGGCTTAATTAGCACTGGCATACTGCACACACTCAGAAGAGCCAGAAACCCGCCCACCACCAGCACAGGAGGAGTCACGATTCACAGAGCAACTCAGAAATTTCTGAGTCTGACTACAATTTAACTTCCTAGTTTGGGAAAGCTTAACTTTCCTCCTATCACACATAATTTTTAGACCTACTACTTCCACCTACAAACTTTCTGTCACCAAGCAGTCTTCTCGGTTTCAGAACAAATTAGGAACCATTCAGCAATTCAGCACAAACCCAAGGCTGCCTGGAGACTCACCTGATGTAGGGTCACTTTCCAGAGACAACCATCCGAAGGAGGAGCTGGCGTTAGAGATGTCTGAGAGGGTCCGGCGGGCCAGCACGGCTGGCACAGGGGGCTTGGGGACATCATAGCCGCCGTCCTCCTCCTCCTCGGACCCCTCAGGGCCTGTGCTGGCGTGGGCCGCGGCCGGGTTCCCTTCACCTGGAGAGAAGTTTGTGCAGTTAACTTCTAACATACTTCATCTTCCAACAAAGTCCATCACACGAGTACAGAATCAAACAGTTACCCAGTGCCTATCATGAGCCAAACACCATGTGAGGGCTCTGGGATAGAGAGAAAAGAAACAGAAAATAAAATCTGCACCCATCCTGCAGTTCTGCTTTCTGAACATGTCAAAGCTGCCTGTACCAGCTTCAAAGCGTCTGAAGCCAAGGACTCCAGGGGCACTTCACAGTGTTCATTCAACATTTCCATCTGTACCTCACGTCGGGAGACCAGCCACAGGGCCCTGTGTGTGCTGCCTTCTGAACATTCAACTGGGTAAGCTCATTCATACGGGACTGAGCATTCTCCACCCACCCACACACAGAATTTCATCACTGCTGACATGCAATGGGAATGAAACGGAGCTGCTAGAACTGCAGGGCCAGACCATGTGACACAAATGTCTCTGACCCTGGAAGGATGAAAGCGCACCAAAGGAAGTAGCTGCGTACACAGGAAATGGAAGAGGGGATTCCACTGACCATGGATCAAAGATATTTTGCAAAGAAAACTATTTAAAAGTACTTTCTGCCTACATCAAGCAATCTCATCAGCCCAATATTACATACAGGTTCATCCCTATGGTACATCAGTACTTTTTCAAGTAGCAGAACAGTAACTCACCAGAGGTGCTGCCTTCCGTGACCACTGGCACCGCCTGGGACTGAATATTACACATGGCTTCGTACGTACAGCTGTCAATCTGCTGGTCACAGTCACATGCTCTGAACGGGAAGGGAAGTGGTACAATGACCTTCAGAACAGAACTCTGCTATCTGCTTACTTACTGCATTCATCTAGCCACAGCTACCCCAGACTCTGATTCTACCAAGGGAACACGTTCTCCATTTTGCCAGTATCACTAATAAATGTCATAACATTGACTCTTTGATGAGCACTAGATGTGTGTGGTTTTGAAATTTCTGTGATGTTGAGGAAACCTAAGTGGAATTGTTTACAGCTCTAAGAGGCTTAAACATTAGGAGCCAGATACACCTTTCTGCCTTAATTCTGGCTGGATGCCACCATGTGCAGGAAGGGAGCCAAGCAGGTGAGAGGTGTTCGATGAATGCCCAAACCGGACTGCTGTGAACCTACCGGGGACTGTGCGCTGTCTCCAGAGGCCGCCTCACATCTGGCTTTTGAAGTCCTAGAGGCCTGGAGGAGGGAGTCATGTACTCGGAGTCCTCCTCACCTTCACACCGCTCCCCAGGCGGCAGCTTTGGCATGGGAAGAGGCCTGGGAGATGAAGAATTAAAAAGAGAAAAAGGAAACAAAAGAATCAACTACAGCCAGAAAACCTGCAAGTGTGAAGTGGCTCGAACACAGACCACAACTCGAACCTGACGTACAAAATAGATGCCACCTAGGGAGCTATTATTTCTTAGGACCAAGATCGGTAATGATTAAAAAACATACTAACTTAAATGTTCACTTTCAGCTGACCAAAGGTGTGGCTATTATGTTTGAGATGTGTTATTACACTGGGGTAGTACTTGATACCACTTAGTCTCAGTCCCCAAATAAGTTGAGTCCCAGTCCAAGAGCTAGAATGCCTGTTTGTCAAAATACGCAGCTTGTCAAAATCTTTCTCATATATCATATATTATCTAACAGCACAAACCCTTTCTCTTCTCATTTTATGTAAGAAAAACGTAAAATATAAAGACATAAAGTTCCTTGGTAGTCTGCATCAATGCTGGGACTAGATCTCAGATTTTCTAACTCCTGCTTCAGGGATCTTGCCATTATATCCAAACATAACTCTCACCCAGAAGTTTTTGCAACAAAACTTCTGGCACTCCACCTCCAGAAACTAGTCAAAGGCAAAAACAAGAACAAAAACAAAACAAAAACCCCATGAAATTATATAAGAAACACGTGTGTGCACACACATACAAAAATTGCTTCTGGGAATGTGAGTTAATGTTTCTTTCCCCTTCCTCTTTATACTTTCTTGGTACCTTCTAAATACTCAGTAATAAGTACCTACTTGATTTGTCTGTTTTTACTTTTCCTAATCATAAAAGCAATAGCTGTTCATTATATAAAACTTAGATGCTTCAGAAACCTAACACAGAGTTACAGTCCCTATAATCTCCCTTGACATTTTTTCTTATGTCTACATATTACTTTTATTAGTTGTGCACTGCATGCAAAAGTTTTGAGGTGGAAGGGTATATTGGTGTGTAAGGGTATGCACCAAAAACGTACGATAGATAGATGCGCCGAAGCACAGATAAATGTGTGCTAAACAAGCAGACAAAATGCTAACAACAGAATCCAGAAGGTGAGTATATGGATGTTCACTGTAAAAATCTTTCACCTTTACTTTTTGAAACTTTTAATAACAAAATGGTAGGGGGGAAAACCCATAAAGATTAAGAAAAAACATCAAGTATCAGTGACAATGTAAGGAAACAGGTACTCCCTTATAGAGTTTTAGAAATAAGAAGTTGGTGCCATGATTGGTGCACATGGTGTGTGTGGGGTCATGGGATAAGACAGCATAGCTCAGAGAAGACAAATAGGGACTCTGTGACATCTCATTACACTGATGGACAGTGACTGCAATGGGATATGGGGAGGGACTCGATAATAAGGGTGAATATAATAACCACATTGTTTTTCTTGTGAAACCTTCATCAGAGTGTATATCAACGATACCTTAATAAAAAAATATTTTAAAAAAGGAGTAAGTTGGTGCTTTTCTGGAGTATAATTCAGCAACAAGTATTTACCCAAACATGTATGCCCTTGGACTCAGAAATCCCACTTCTATGAATTGTCCCTGAGGAAATAATCAAGAATATTCACAAATAATAGTTTACTGAATAAATAAATTTTGAACCACATGTATAAGCAACATATGTGGTCAGCTGTGCCCCTCAGTACCCACAGGTTCCAGGCTGGTGGAGGCCCACTTCCACCACAGTAGGCACAGTAGGTCTATTGTGATCTACTTTACACACTAGGGTTTCACTTAAGTCAGTTCCACTGCTTTGCGGTCATTTGAAATAATCTGAAAATCACTGTAGGAGCAGAATATGTAGCAACATCCTAAGATGTTCAAGATATTCCTAGCAAAACACATCATGTACAATATGATTCCATATAGACAAGAGTGACAATGAACATCCACCAGATTGCTAACTACTGTCTGAATCTAGGTGGTAAGATTATAGGTAGCTTTTATTTCTTCGGTGTCACATATCTGTAATTATGTTTCTAATATTCTTTAATACATATTACTTTCATGAAGAGAAAAAGGTCACTAAAAGGTCAATCAAAAAATGATTATAATTCTATTGATGATGTTAATAAAAATATAAAATTGCACCTCCTCATTAAGCATTCTGGCAATATGTACTTTAAAATGTTCATTCACATGCTTTTGTCACAGTAATTCTACTTTCTCTGCATCTCCAGTTATGTACAAAAATGTTCACTGGAGGAAGTTTATTACAGTAAAAGCTTTGAAACAAATTTAATATCCAACAGGGGAATGGTTGAATATGTGATGTTATAGCCCCATTAAACATTAATACACAATCATTCAAAGTGGGGATTTTTAAATGATTGAGAGAAATGCCCAAAATAAAATGGTAAGTTAAAAAAAAGGGAGAATATAAAACTGTGTCTTTATCTAAAACATACAGACATTTTACCAGTGTTCAGCCATGGCCAAATAGCAAGCATCACCTGAACCCTCTATCCAGCTATGAAAGCAGAATAAACTATACAAGAAAGAAGGCCCTGGAGATCCACCAGGCAGCCACAATTCGAGGGGCCAAGATTCCAGACAGAAGTTAGTGGGGGTATTAGAACTCACAGCACCCAAATAGAACCAACAGAAAGAGTTCTGAACTTGGGGCGTGAGGGTTGGTTTAAACAGGCTGGGGAGAAAGAGACTGGAAATTTGCAGGTACTGTGGTGGTGAAGATGCGAGGGGCCAAAAGTCCTGAAGACGGGAAGTGCAGAGAAAGCAGTTTAAAATTCTGTCTGCAACTTTTCCTCTAGTTACTGCTGATCCCCCAACTATGTATGCCTGGGGCTAGATTATGGGAAACCAAGCAGGAAGTAGCAAACGAGGAGCTCAACAGATACTTTGGTTGTCTTGCCAAGCTCAAGAGACAAGGTCGGAGTTAACAGATATGGCCTTTAAAGTAATTACTTACATGTTCGATAAAAAAGGAGGTTGAAGAATTTTACTAGTAAACAAGAATAATTTTTGAAAATCACATAGGAATTCTACAACCTAAAAAACAGTATCTGAAACCACAAATTCAACAGATGGATTTAGGACAATTAAAAACTGCAAAAAAGAGAAGATTAGAAAACTGGAATATAGCACAAACTATTCAAGTTAAAGTAAGGAGGAAAAGGAATGGAAAACACAGAAATGAGCATAAGAACTATATGAGGCATGGTGACAAGGTCATATTCAGGTAGCTGGAGTCACAGGAGAGGTAGAAGAGAGACTGCACACTATTCAGTCTATTTAAAGAAATACTGGCTGAGAATTTTCTAAAACAGATTAAAAACATCAAACCACAATATCAATCAACTCTACAAACCATAACAAGGATAATAATAAAGAAAACTACATAGAAGTTATAGTAAAAGTACTGGAATCCAAAGACAAAGAGCTCTAGTAAGAAGTCAGAAAAAGAAACATTATCTTTAGAGAAGCAATATTAAGCCTGAGAGCTAATGTCTCAACAGAAATGGAAGCCAAAAGGTAGTGCCAATGATATTTTTAAGGTGCTAAAAGAAAGTGATAGTATGTAACAATACTTCATTTGTTTTCTGAATGATTTAAGAGACTAATGCATTTAAAGGTAAACGTATTCTAGTGTAAAAGCTGGTATTACTGGAACTTTGCTTTGTGACTAAATCTTTTTTCTAGATAACTTAGGAGATAAATGCATTTAAAAGACATACTTTGTTTTCAGGTACACAATGTACAAAAATGTAATTCTCAACAACTGAAAGGGACAGGGACAGAACTGTAAAGGAGCAGAGTTTTTCTACATTACTGAAGTTAAGCTGGTATAAATTCAAATTACAGTGTTATAAACTTTAGGGTGCTAAGTGTAATCCATATGGATTACACAGAAAATAGCTATGGAATATACACAAAAGTAAGTAAGAATTTAAACATTTTGCCACAAAAACAATCAACTAAACACACAAGACAGTAATGCAGGAAATAAGGGACAAAAAAGCCATTAGGACATACAGAACAAATAGCACAAGAACAGCAGTCCCTCCTTATCAGTAATCACTTTAAATGTAAACGAATTAAACTCTCCAATCAAAAGACAGAAATTGGCAGACTGGGTCAAAAATGCATTTATCCTATCGATTATGCTCTCTACAAATGACTCAGCTGAAATCCAATGACACAAACAGGTGAAAGTGAAGGAACAGGAAAAGCTATTCCACGCAAATAATAACCAAAAGAGAGCAGGGGTAGTGGCGGTAATATCAGACAAATAGACTTTAAATCAAGAAAGGTACAAGAGACAAAGGATATTATGTATTAATAAAAGACTTGATACAGCAAGAAGACATAACAATTACAAACATTTGACAGACCATCAAAATATATGAAGGAAAAACGGACAGAACTAGAGGGAGAAATAAATGTTTCCACAATAATATTGGAGACTTCAATACACCATTCACAAGAATGGGTGGCACAACCGCACAGAAGACAAATAAGGAAACAGAGGACTTAACACAATAAGCCAATGAGATCTAACCAACAGAGCGGAACACTCTACGGAACAACAGCATACACAGTCTTCTCAAACGCACATGGGATAGTCTCTAGGCAGACAATATGTTAGGCCACAAATTAAGTCTCAATCGATTAAAAAAGATATACAAAGTATCTTCTCTGACCACAATAGTATAAAATCAGAAATCAATAACGAAAGTAAGACTAAAAATTCACAAAATTGTGGAAATTAAACAATATACTTTTTAATAACCAATGAACCAAGGAAGAAATCACAAGGGAAATTAGAGAATACTTAAAGGTAAATGAAAACACCAATACAACAACATAATAAAACTTATGAGAAGCAGCAAAAGCAGTGTTAAGGAGGAAATTTAAAGCATAAGCAATCCTATTAAAAAACAAGATCTCAAGTCAACAAACTAACTTAGAACTTAAGAAAACAGACAAGGAACCAACTAAACCCAAAGCTAGCAGAAGGAAGGAAATAAAGATTAGAGATAAATGAAATAGAGAAGAGAAAAACAATGGGGAAAATCAATGCCCAAAAGTTGGTTCCTTGAAAAGATCAATAAAACTAACAAATTTATCTAGATGGACTAAGGAAAAGGAGAGAAGACTCAAATTACCAAAATCAGATATTAAAGTGGAGACATTACTATTGATTCGATTCTACAGAAATAAGGATTTTAAGAGTACATCTATACACAGAACTTACTAAGACTAAATCACAAAGATATAGAAAATCGGAATAGACCTATAATTAGTAAAGAGATTGAATTAGTAATTACAAATCTCTCAACAAAGAATAGCACCGTACCTGACAGCTTCACTGGTGAATCCTATTGAACACTTAATGGACTAACACCAATTTTTTTTAAACTGCTCCTAAAAACTAGAGTGGGAACATTTCCTAACTCATTCTATGAGGCCATCATAATCATGTTACAAAATCAGACGGACGCTAAAGAAAACTACAAACCAATATCCCTTATGAACATTGATACAAAAGTCTGCAACAAAATACTAGCAAAAAGAAGCTGGCAGCATATTAAAAGGAGTACATACAATAGCCAAGTGGGATTTATACCTGCAATGCAAAGATAGTTTAACATGCAAAAAATGGTTAATGTAATATGCCACTTCAACAATATGAAGGAAAAAACCCCACATGATCATCTCAATTGGTGCAGAAAATGCAGCTGACAAAATTTAACTGTTTTATGATAAAAACCTTCAACAAAATAGGAATATAAGGAAAAGTACCTCAACATAATAAAACTCATATGAAAAATCCAGAACAAGCACACTCAATGGCGAAAGACTGAAAGTTTTTTCTGAAAGATCAGGAATAAGGCAAGGATGCCTGCTTTCACCACTTTTATTCAACACACTATTGGAAGTTCCAGCCAAATCAGTTAAGTAAGGAAAATAAATAAAAGACATCCAAACTGGAATGGACAAGGTGAAATTATCTTTCTGTTTGCAGATGATATGATCTTATATGTAGAAAACCCTAAAGATGTCATAAAAGAGCTGTCAGAATAAACGAGTTCAGGAAAGTAGCAGGATACAAAGTCAACACACAAAAACCAGTTGCATTTCTATACACAAACAATGAACAACCTGGAAAAGAAACTTCAAAAGCAATCTCTTTGCAAAAGCATCAAAAAGAATAAAATAGCAATTAACTGAAGAGGTGAAAGAGTTGTACAATGAAAACTGCAAAACATTGCTGAAAGAAATTAAAGAGGGCTTAAGTAAATGGAAACACATCCCACATTCATGGATTGGAAGACTTAATGTTGTTAAAATGTCAGTACCATCCAAGGCAGTTTACAGATTACATGCAATCCCTATCAAAATCCCAATGATGCTTTTGCAGTAGAAAAACTCATCCTAAAATTTATAGGAAATTTCAAGGGACCCTGAATAGCCTGAAATCTTGAAAAGAAAAAACAAAAAATGCAAATCTGGAGGACTCACACTTCCCTATTTCTAAACTTACCAGAAAGCTACAGTAATCAAAACAATGTGGTACTGGCATAAAGATAGACATACAGACCAATGCAACAGAATAGAGAGCCTAGAAATAAACCCTCACACATATGGTCAAATTATTTTTGTCAAGGGAGCCAAGATCATTCAATGGAGCTAAGGACAGTGTTTTCAACAAGTGGTGCTGGGAAAGCTAGAAGTTCATATGCAAAAGAATGAAATTAGACCCTCACCTAATTAACACCACATATAAAAATTAACTCAAAATGGATCAAGAACCCAAGTATAAGATCTAAACTAACTCTAAAATAAACCTCTTAGAAGAAAACGTAAAACAAAAGCTTTATGACATTGTATTTGGCAACAATTTCTAGGATAACAAAGGTACAGGTAACAAGAAAAAATAAGACATAATGATTTTAAAATTTTGTACATCAAAAAACACTATGCAGAGTAAAACAGCAACCCACAGAATGGAAAAAGTATTTGCAAATCATATATCTGATATGGGATTAATACCCAGAATATACAGAGAACTTCTAAAACTCAACAGCAAAAGAACAAACCACCTGATTAAAAGATGGACAAAGGACTTATACACAGACATTGTCCCAAAAATATAGATGAATGGCCAGTAAGCATATTAAAAGAGGCTCAATATCACTAATCATTCAGGGAAATACAAATCAAAATTACAATGAGATACCACACCTCATTAGGATAGTCACTATCAATCAATCAATCAATCAGTCAGTCAATCAATCAATCAATAACCTTTGTGCACTGCTGGTAAGGATGTAAAATAGTATCATTGCTGTGGGAAATAGTAAGTGGTGTCTCAAAAATTTTAAATACAATTTCCATATGATCCAGGAATACTACTTGTGGTACATACCCAGAAGAACTGAAAGTAGGGTCTTGAAGAGTTGTTTGTTCACCCACATTCATAGTAGTATCAGTCACAACAGCTAAAATGTGGCAGTAACCCAAGTGTCCATCAGTTGGTGAATGGATAAACAAAATGTGGTAGAGTGGTCCCCCCTTATCCCTTATCGCCCTTATTTCCATGATTTCAGTTACCTGCAGTCAACCATGGTGCAAAAGCAGATGATCCTCCCCCTGACATTGACAGAAGGTTCACAGTAGCCGGACACTATGTCATATGCCTACACTACTAACCTCATTTCATCTTATCATATAGGCATTTTATCATCTCCCATTATCACAAGGGGGATAATATAGTACAGTAAGATATTTTGAAATAGAGACCACATTCACATAACTACAGTATATTGTTATAATGGTTCTATTTTATTATTGTTGTTAATCTCTTAACTGTGCCTAATTTATAAATAAACTTTAGCATAGTCATGTATGTATAGTACAGAACAGTATATATATAGGGTGCAGTACTATCAATGCTATTAGTTTCAGGTATCCACTGGGAGGAAAGTCTTAGAACATATACCCTGCAAATAAGGTAGGGGGAGACCCACTGTATATACATACAGTGGAATATTACTCAGCCTTAAAAAGGAAGTTCCGCAATATACTACAATATGGATGAACCTTGAAGACATTATGTTAAGTGAAATAAGTCAGTCACAAAAGTCAAATACTGTCTGATTCCACTCATATGGGATACCTGGAGTAGTCAAAATCATAAAGGCAGGAAGTGAATGGTGGTTCCCAAGGGCTATGGGGTCCGGGGGAGAATGGCGAGTTATTGTTTAATAGGTAGAGTTTCAGTTTTATACAATAAAAAGAGTTTGGGGATGGATAGTGGTGACAGTTACACAGGTTAATGTGGTTAATACCACAAACCCTTATCCTGGTATATGGGTATGGTGATAAATTTTATGTTATGTGTATTTTACCAAACACAAAAAAGCAGATACTTAAGAATTAAGAATTTTAAAAATTAACAAAGCCAAAACTGCTTCGTTGAAAATAAAACTGATGAGCCCCAGCAAGACTGACCTATGTACATGTACACAGAGAAAAGAATGGAAAAAAACAGTCCAAAACATAAAATATGGTAATTTTTAATTGATGCAAATAAAGATCCACTTTAATTTCTTCTTTACACTCCTCTGGGCTTTCTAGATTTTCTCAAAGTAAGCTGCTTTAAGTACCAACCCCACTGAATGAAATATAGCTTCAGTAAATTTACCTGGCGGCCAGAGAATAAATGGCACTCGCAGATGCGGAAGGTTTGATTTTGGGGTGCTCACACTCTGGACCTGCCAACGGGCTGTTATTCATATTCTGGAAAGAAAAGTATTGAAAAAGAACCTTCTTAACACAGCTAAGTATCCTCCTAACTTATTTAATCTATTCAAAATAACAAGAGCAATAAAATGGACACAGATGTCCCTCCCTCAATGCCATGTTTAGGGGTTATTATATCGGACAAAAGCATAGTTGCTTTCAAGCTCTGAAAAAAATTCAGATGTAACGTTAGGGAGATAGAGATCTAAAGAGAGCCACGGAAATGGGATTGTTGATTTTAATTCTAGAAAGACTGCAGAACACTGGCTGTCTGAGTTTAAAAATCTATACCTCCCTTCTACATGCTACCAGAAAGTCAGACCTGATCCATGTCCACTAATCAGACCGCCTATCACACAGATGCTGCTTTAATCTAAGTCATCCTCCCCCTTCTCTTGCAACCAAGAAATACGCAGTTCATTAAAGGACCACAGCATTGCTCAACTTCACTGTTCAGAGGCAATGATTCGCCCTCTTGCTTACTTAGCACCAGCTATACAAACCCCTTTGTTATTCCTCAGATAGACTCCCCTGAACTTACCTGCCTTTCCCTTCATCCTAGAACGGTCTTCCCTCAGAATCAGCATGGCCCACTCTCACCGTTGCTCCAGGTTTTTGCTCAAAATTATACTCCATCCCTCCTCGTACCTGCCAACCCAACTACAGTTGTTCCTATACCCCGTTTTTTTGCGCTGTTTTTCTCCACAGTACTCATCAACGTCTGCCATCCTGTTTTATTTACTTATCTTGCTTATTTCTATCCTTCCGCCACTAGAATGTAAACTTTGTGAGGGCAAGATTTTTTGTTGAGTGCATAAATGAACCGACAAAAGAAAGGATCTACCCCTCCCAGCCCCAGGTCTGGACTCTTATCTCATGCTAATCCAAGAGACCACTGACCTATCTTTTTTCAATCTACTCTTGCATTGATCCATTCTATATGCTACTGCTATATTCATCTCTTTAAACCATCATTTTGGTCATGTCACTCCACTAATCTAAAACCTTCAAACGCTCCTCATTTCCTACCAAATAAATTCAGCCTTTTGGCCTTGGTGGGTTTTCAAGGTTCTTTAATCTAGTACCAATGCTCCTTTCTAGCCCTTTTTCCTAATCTGACACACAAAATTTTTGCTCCACTCAAATTAAACTACTTCTAGTTCCACAATACACTGTAAGCATTTCTGTCATTTGTAGAGCTGATCCATCTTAAAACTGATCCATTCTGAAGAGAATACTTCAGATTCAGATGGCGCTCTTTCTATAAAGTCCTCATGATTGCACTATCTGGAATAATCTCTCCTTTCTCTGAAACTTAATTATTTTATTATATATATATGATATATATTCCATATATATATAAGCAGTATAAGTATATTCTTATACTACCCATTTATGCATATGTATACATATTGCACACATACACATTTAGAGTAATATTTACAAACATGCTTTATCTGCTCTATTAACATACATACTTCTTGAGACTAGAGATTGTTATATTATCACTGACTCCTGTATAAAACCTGTCACAAAACTCTGACCCATTAAATGCCATCCACAAATATTTATTAATAGGCTAAATAACTTCACAATCAGGACTCACCGTAGAGGTATCCACACTGTATGCGCTCCCAAGCCTAGGCACATCTGTTCTGGGTTCCACTTGTGAGGGCAATGAAAATGGAAGTGAGTGCCGGTTGGTTAATTCTCTCCCTGTCCAGGGGTCACTAGGGTTTGGGGCAACTGCTGGTACTTTGGGAATTGGCCGAGGCAGCCATGATTCCCCAAGGCGGCTAGAGGGGACAGGGGGCAATTTGTCCCTGGATGGACAGTCGCCTGGTGTACAAGGCAAGGGGCGTCTCTGGGGCCGGGTTTCTGCTCCAACAGAATATGGTCGATCCGGAGGGGGGGGTGGCGGAAGATCTCGGAGCGTGGGAGGTATTGGCAATGGTTTGTCCTTATGAAGGGAGCCAGAAGCAGCCTGTGGGAGCATGACGAAAGCACATCAATCCAAAGTCACCAATCTGTGACAAAGTGTCAGAAAACAGCATAGGCGGAGAAAGCTTTACCTTGGAAGCCGTTCCAAGACCAGAAGCACTTGAAGGAATAGGTACTCGCTGCTGCAGAAGGTCAAGTCGTGGTGGTACTGGGGGAAGGGAAGCTTGTGGCGCCATTGAGAACGGAGAGGGAGGCCGTTCCACCTAACACAAATGAGATTTCCTAACAGGTTATTCTTGCTGGCGGGGGTGGCATCTTTCAACTCCTAAAGCTGTAGACAGACAGCAAGTAGTATATGAACACTGACTGTGACCACCAATGGGTCAGACTTCCTGAATTACTTCTGTGTCACCATAAGGGGGCACACTCAATCATAGAATCACCACGTGGATGCAAGCTACAGGCAAATGTATCTAGAAATGGCAGTGCTACAAAAAGATTGCTAGTTTACAATTTGAAACTTCAATTTGAAACAATATTATAACTTCCCAATTCCTCAACTTCATAGAAAGAAAAAAATATTTTCAAGATAAAAAAAATAGGAACCCATATAAAAAGAAAGGAGCAGACATTAGCCTCTCAACTAGTCACCCAGGAAATTATGTGTAAGGGGCAGAACACTGAAAGGTAAGAAATTCTCCATGGGTTATCACGATAAAAAGAAGAAAAAAACCTCTGTAAGAAGTCACTAAAAAGTGTCTTGAGTCTTTCTGAAGAAATGCTATTTCAATTCAGTAATTAAAAGGGATTAGTATTTTCTATCAATTTGTCTTCTAACAAAAGTGTTACAAGAAACAATACATGTGTTTTCCTCTTCCCTGCCAAGAGCAGGATAATGAATAGCTGGTAAGTCTGTCTAAGTAAGCTGCCCAGAGGTATACAGTAATGCACCCAAAATGCCACTGCATTTGCATTCTCGAACAGGGAGAACACAGAACAGGCTGGTATGCATCACAAGCACTTATGTGAGATGATGGAAAACTGTTCACATACTTAGTCCTATCATTAATGCTGGCTGGTAAATGAGGATAAAGAAAGCCCTCACCATGAGCTACTTGCTTTCACACATGTTTAAGAACACAGGCGCCATGTGAATGGAGCATGCGCGATGCAGCTTGAGTGGCTACACAGCTTAACGGTGAGGAAATGAAAAAGGTTCTTGGTCAAGCTAATTCTTACTTTGTCATCAGTTTTCAATCACTGTATCCTCCTGACTTTTCTACATAGGGGTTGCATATCTGTATCTTCCTTTTCACTCTATTTACAAACCTCAGATCTGATCTGTCAAACCACCTTCTAGTGATTCTCCCACCTCCTAGTTTCTCATCTCACCAGATCCTTTTGCTCACCATTATCAGCATAGCCATCCTTAAATACTAGCTCAAAAACCATCTATCAGTAACTTCTGCTTTTCCACAAGTCCCGGTTCTGGAATTCCTACCTCCTTGCCTTGGTTCAGGCTGTTTCCCAATATGAAAAGACTTCTCTTCCCTATTTTGATCCCTCCCACCATCCACCTCTCTTATTCCTAAAGTGCAGAGCAGTTGAGTTAATCATATTTTTCAATTCATGGCTCAACATCATAACCAATGGCTGCAATGTCCTTCTATCTCAACATGTAAGAAAGTCCCAGAAAAGGAGAAAAACACAAATGAAGAAATTATCAAACAAATAATACAAGAACATTTCCAAGACCTAAGGGATATAAATATCCACATAGAAAAGGCTCACTGCACAACTAGCCCAACGAAGGGAAAGAAATCGTAACAATGAGCAACCAATACCGCCGGTAAGTTTTCCGGGAACCAAGAATAAGGAAAGTGTCCTGAAAGCTTCTGTGGATAAAGGGAAAGGGAGCAACAAATAGTAAAAATACACTAGAATCCAAAAGTCAAGTAGTCTAATAATTTAAGTTGAATTTTTTTCAACCTAGAATTCTGCAACTAGTTAGAGTTTGAGAGTTGAATAAAGGCATTTTAAGCTATCAGGTATCTCAAAAATTTTACTTCACACCTTGTCACAGAAAGCTATTTTGAGGATATACTCCAGCCAAACACAGAAGTAAAAGCAGTAAAGAGGAAAACATGGGAGCCAAGGAACAGGCACCCCAACACAGAGGAGAGACGATGAAGTCCCATGATAATGGCAAGGGGAGACCTCAGGGCGACGGGGAATACAGTGCCCTGAGAGGATAACCAGTCCAAACTGGAGCTGAATCGCGAAGACTCTGTATACCAGTACACTACATTATACACTATCTCCGATAATAACAGGATTTACTTCATAGAAAATTATGTTCAGAGGATGTTTGACACCATGGTAAGATTTGGTAGTGACATGTACAAACTGAAAACTAAGGGGAAAAAAGCAGTTATCCCAGGAAAATCCAAAGGCTGTTTGAGAAACCAAAGCAATCCTATCAGAGTATCTTGCTCAGCACAGCGGGCAGCAAAATCGTTTCACACTGCAAACACCTGAGCCGCAGCACAAACTCCATTCAAACTACAGCGGGCAGGCATGCTGCAGGAGACAGGAGACGCAGACGTAAGTCCTTTCTGACAATGCCTGAAGTGAACAGGTGACTAACACCGAAGAATCCAGAAGAGGCGGTAAAAGTGTAGGTAAGAAACCATTTTAAGAACTGAAAAATCCGAATGGAGCACAGAGAGCAGCTGAAGGGGGCCAAGGCAGACAGCCAACAATTCCAAAAGCCTTTTAGCAATTCTTTTAAACTTTAAAATAATCTGCAAGCATTTGCTGCTTGGATTTTTTAGTAAGTAGATTCACTATATTAAAAACAAATTAAAACAAATGGCAACAAAAGAGTGAACGACAGCTACTAGGGTGTATGTGACAAAACAGTCACTCCCACAGTCTCACACACCTCTGGGAGTGAATTTGGGACAAAAATTGGAGACAGATTTTAATATCAATCCAAAAAAATTAAATGGTTTTACTCAAATATCTTATTCATACAAATATTTTGTTTACATCTTATGTGGACTATAAAGTGCAAAAAATAAGATAAATGCCTACAAAGTACATACCACACAGCTAAACAATGAAATACCACTGTTCTGGTGAAATACTGTGCCCCTCTGCTCTATCAGAAAGCTTAAAGGTACATACTCTACCCAGCAATTCCACTGCTAGAAAGTTATCCTACAGGTAGGCTTGCAGAAGGATGCCAATAAGTATAAGCCTGGAAACAATATGAGTGTCCATTAAGAAAGAGTAAATAAATTATGAAATAGCAAGGCAACAATGTAATATTTGAAGCTCTTTTTTCTCTACTTGAATTTTTACAGTGTATCTTCATTACTACTTTTCCTTTCTTGAGTAAATTTTAATATGATCCATATATATCCAGCTACAGAAAAAGTGTTCACTTTCATCTTTCTTTTAAAGTCCTGTAGCACTCAGAGTGTGTACCCAACAATTTAAAACAATGTACACTGTCTGCCTTTTGTATTAAATAATAGTGTCTCTTCACAAATACAATTCCTAGATCTTTGTGGCCCTTTAACTTAGGTTTCTTATCCCATGTATCACTCAACACATAACTACTTACCTAGCACAATAAACACCTTGCAAAAGTAATGTGTTAATTATAAAAAATCCAAATATCTCATAAAATAAAAATTCTCTGAACTTGTATCCTCAGAAACAACACTGAGTACTTCAGTGTATACTCATTCAATTTTCTCATAGTGCACATTCAAAATTTTTTACAACCAAAAATTTTTTGCATAGAAATAAGGTAATACTATATACATGGCATACACTTGCTTTTTTAAACTCAATACACATTAGACAGCCTCCCACTTAGATATATGTAAATTGAATTCATTCTGCATAGCATTCCATTATGTGCACTGTAACAGTGGGAAGAATGTTCACCTCACCCAAGTTGTTGATGCCCTAAAACCCAGGACCTGTGAATGTATTATTACTTGGCAAAAGGAGTTTTGCTGATGTACTTAAAGGTGTGGATCTTGGGATGGGAGAATTATCCTGGATTATCCAGCGGGCCCAATGCAATCCCATAGTCCTTAAAAGCAGAGAACCTCAGAGAGATAAGATGGGAGGAGGTGGAAAGGAGGCCAGGAGCCAAAGAATGGGAATATTGTCAGCCCACAACCAGCAAGGAGACCCGGACCTTAATCCTAAACCGCAAGGAACTGAGCTGTGCCAAATCCAGGTGAGTTAAATAAATGGATTTTCCCTTAGAGCCTAAAGAAAGGAACACAGGCCTGCCGACACCTGGCTTTAACCTGATGGGACATGTGTCAGCCTTCTGACCTTCAAAACTAAAGAGAATAAATTTGTGTTGCATTAAGCTGCTAAATTTGTAGTAATCAGTTATGGAGCCATAGATTTACTAACACATGGATGCACCATCATTTCTTGCTGATGGATATGTGAGTTGTTCCTAATTTTTCATTACTACAAATAATGTTGTATATCTGTACCTTTGTGTGCTTGTCTGTTTCCTTAGGCTATATTCTGAGAATTGAAATGGCGAGGTCAGACTGTGAACATTACACACTTTAAACAGATGTCAAACTGTCCTTCAAAAAGGTGGAACTTAATAATTTGTACCCATATCAACACTGGATGTTAAGTGCCTGTTTCTCCACAGTGAGTATTATCTATCTATAAAATTTCATGAAGTAAAAAGGGGATTTTAATTTCAAATAAATACACACAGGAATGATCATTTATCATGTCATTCTGCTTCCCTCATATTCCAGGAGTTACCAGTAAATGTCCATGAATGAACAGACGGCAATCTATGCAAGAACATAAAACTGTTATAGAGGTCAAATGAATCCTCTTAAAATGGAACCAAAAAACCTGTTACGAGTGACCAATACTGTCAATTTCAAAACACCAAAAATGTACCACTCAGTCCAGGTTTCTTTGATTATCCATAAATGATATAGCACTGTAAATCTGTCAATTCCTGTTTTGAAGTGTTTTCAATTCCCAAACACTTAAAGTAACTACCATGTGTTCAACTTTGAATAGCTAAATACAAATAAGACAAATCTTGCCTTCTAAGATAATGGGAAGAAATACTCTTAATGAAATATGACAAGGTGATAAGTTATGCTGCAGACATATTCATAGCTCCCAGGAACACCTGGCCAGACCTAGACTGTATGTGTACTAATGAATGTGAAGTTTGGGGTGGGGGAAGTAGGGTACAGTCTGGAAAGATTTTCTGGGAAATGAAATGGAACTAAATTACATAGAAAGTACCAAGACAAAGGCATGGAGATTTTTAATGGTTCGGCCTTGCTGGACCACAAAATATAAGCAGAAAGGTTTATCAGGGCTAAGTGCCTGGAAAGGAGAATGGGCTTAACCTATTAGTAATGAGAAGTTGCCAAAGAGAATGAGGAAAAGAATGAGGTGGTCAGGTCTGCGCTGTAGAGAGATGACTCTGGAAATGGGGAGAACAGGGGATGACGACAGCCTTCTGAAACAAGGCAGTGGTATTGAGGACACAGGGGAGGTCTATATACTGGATACAGGTATTTAAGAGATAAAAATCTATTCTTTCAATACTTACTGAGCACCTGCTTTGCCACTGTGCCAGGCGGTTGGGTGCTAATATATAAGAAAGCTGCTTTTGTACCAAGGAAACGCATCCCATGAATTTATAACATTCTTAACTAGAGCATCTACAACATATCAGAACCTTTTGTTTGCCTACATTTACTGAGATCTTTAAGGACTGCCTTACTTTGAATTAGTGAATAAATCCCTGTTTTTCACTGATATAACGGAATTGGACCACATCCTTTCTTAGCCTTTACCTTCCCTACCCTTACCAGAGCCTTTCTAGTTTTAGTTTCTACGTGGTACCTCCTAGCGCCCTCCAATCACACTAGTTGCCATTATTTGCTTATTAATAAGTGCCTCATTTCTCCCTGCCCCCCAAAACCTAGCTTTCTAATAAATGCAAAGACTCCATTAGAAAAAAAACCAAGAACGACATATTCTAGTCACAGTAGCAAAATAGGGTTCTATTATTTTATCCCCCCACACCCATTTCTCCAGAAAGCCCGGTGGGTGAAGCCCAGCTCTAGGATATGGACAGGGAGCATGGGCCTTACAGCTGCAGTATCTGGTCATGGACTCTGGTTCAGCTGACTGTGAGGTCTTCAGCAAACCATTAACCTCATTGTGCCTTGGTTTCCTTATCTGTTAAACGAGGACAGTAATAATTATCTACTCATAGGGTTGTTTGAGTATACATGAGTACAGGATTGTGTGAGTTAAAAGAGTAAAGTGCTCACAGAGAAGACAAGTAATGACTCTATAGCATCTTACTAGGCTGATAGACAGTGACTGCAATGGGGGGGACTTGATAATATGGGTGAATGGTGAAACCAGTGTTGTTCATGTGAAACCTTCATAAGATTGTGTATCAATGATACATTAAAAATAAAGGGTAAAGTGCTCAGCATGGCATCTCTCACATAGTAAATACTCAAGCTATTAATACTCATTGTAGTCTGGATGTCATTAAGTGCTCACTGCTTTAGAACACAACCCATAACGGATTTTGCCAGTCCCTTAAAATGCAGTCTTACCTTAGCACCAGCCAATTCCTTCATCATGAAGAGAGAATCATCAGCTCGCTCATCATCATCATCATCATAATTTGGGGAGGGAGCTCCCTCTGCTCCTTGCCTCAAAAGGCTGCCGCTCCCTCTAGGATCAAATGGATCTACCACAATGGGCTCAGTACCTTTAATTTCACATCGGCAGAAAGGACAGCCCTGGCCTTCTGATTCCTGAGGAGGAAACAACAGATGGTAACAGACACATCTCAAAGTACTTAAAATATCTGTCCATTAGGAAATACATTTCCCCGGAGATGAAAAAAGAGATCAAAAGCTTAAAACCTACCCCACAAGCCAGTTTTTTCTTTATATCTGTAAGGGATATACAATGCCTGATTCTTCAGACTAACTATATAGTCGACTGAGAAAATGCATGGTCTGGATCCTTACCTGCCAGGAGGTAAGACAGGATGTGCACATGAGGTGCCCACAGGGCTCAATCTTTACATCCTTGTCGTTTTCAGCACATATTTTACACAGCTGGAATGTGGAGCCCATCTCACAGTATAATTCATATTGTTCCTTTGATTAAAAAAAAAGTTAAGAGATTATTCAGCCTATGGAAGATTATTTGTTGAATGAATGAATGAATGACTGTAACTATAAATTCTAAATTAAACAAGTAAATTGAAGAATGTTAACTTTCTATACAAATTTTGCTTGTATAGAAGTGTCAGAACAGTAGTCAGAGTTCTCACGTTAAAACAGAAAGCACCCAGTCCTATTTTAAGCCATGTGGTTTGAAGAGAAACCACACACATGAGTTCACTTATCTAGTCAAGCGGTTTAAATTTAAATGTTCCAATCACTTAATACAATTCCACTGTCACAATTCTATAAAGTATACACAAAAGCTTGGCTCTAATGGTATGGCTATAATGTGAAACAAAATTCACCTGGGTCACTTTGATGTGGTCTTGAGGAGTTGGTTCACATAAGCCTGTCAGGTCGGGATTCTGATTCCGTCCATCAGGAAACAAATAACTATAAAAAGTGTAACCTTAGGGTTTTAATGCCGATTTATAACTGCCTCCTGATATAGATAAATGATATCTAGGAATTCCCTCATTCAAAAAGCATAACTTAGTATAAGTACAAAAGTAAATCTTACAAATACTTCAAAAAAATTAACAACACAGAACAGTTCCAAGAAGACATTCTCCAAACACTGAGACTCTTTCTCCAGGGCACAATGCCATAGGCTCTATCTTTTAATTGAAGGGCTGACAAACTCTGTAAAGGGCCAGATAGTAAATATTTTAGGCTTTGCAAGCCATATAAATCAGTATCACATATTCTCCTCTGGTGATTGTTGTGTTTGTTTGTTTTTTAAACAACTCTTTAAAAAGGAAAAACTATCTCAGACACAGGCTATGCCAAAAAAGCTAGCCTGTGGGCAAAAGCTTGCCAATCCTAGTTTTAATCTATGGATGGCCAGAGTATAAATTTTTAATTTAAAATACATTTGCGTTTGACCAAGGACCTGAAATACCCTTGTTAGCAGATTTAACATTGAGAGATGCCAATTTAAAAGAAATGTAGTAAGAAGCAAATTAAGCCACTAATACCATCTGCCAAGAAGGAGCTTCTCGCACCAGACCACTCTGACATTTGGGGGAGCAACCCTTTGAGCTTTAGTGATACTATAGATGATGGTACATGATGGAAAATGGATTTTCCTAATCACTTTAAAGTACAAGTAGTTTTCTGATAATTTGGCCAATGGTTAGTATTTTTAGCGCTTACCTACTGATAATCAATTTGAATCCCCAAAGGCATAGCAATACTGGAATAAATAAGAACTCAGTCGTCAATATTAGCATGGATTATAAAAGCCCAAAGCCTGTAGAAATGCTGCCGGACCAAAGTGAAGTTAGGATGAAGGCAGATGAAGGCCTCTGAGCCTACTGTCATCAGCAACATCTAATCGCTCCAGTGCTGGGTAAATAACCGGTAACATTTTCTGCTAATTGGCATATATTCAAATCTAACATAGATTGAAAATAAGTTAACATTTGGAAAAGGAAAAAGATACAATTTACTCATGGTAATAACTGTAGCAGTAGAGAAAAATAACTTTACTTAAGGAATCCTTTTAAATAAAAACAAAAAGTCTTGCAGGACTTGAAGGTCAAAACAATAAAACCAACCTATTAATGTTTCCTGAATCGTAAACTGTGGAAGAAACCTAGAATAAAGTCATTAAGGTTGAAGTTTTACCGCCCTATAGTTTCTAGACTCTAGTAGATGGTCAACAGTAGATACTTACAAGCCTTCCCTGAAGCCATCAATCAGTGCTTGGAAGAGAGGTTTGTTGTGAGGGATTGTCTGCAGAATGTTCCCATCAGCAGTGACGTACCCAATAGCCCACTGACCCAGACGAGTACAACTCAGCCGGAAAATGTAACTAAGAACAGAGATAAACAGAATCTTTAATATATATATATATATGCTCATATTAGTGTGAAAAGGCAAGACACAGACAAAAATCAAAAGCAGCATCAATAATAGATTCTTCAATGACTCCAGACCAAAAGCAATGAACATACCAGCTCAATTTTTAAGTGGCTTAAAAGCATTTATCAAATCATAGGCTCTGATCAGTCAATTCCTCTGATAAACAGACATCAATCCTATTGCAAAAATGTGGCTAGCAGAGTCCAAGACAGTAAAATCCAGGAGGATAAATCTCTTTGTTGCATGGCACTGACCTGCCAGGTTTGTGAATGAATTTCTGGAGCCGCGCTTTCACTTCATCATATGTCAGGAAAGCCATGTAACCAGGATGAGTTACAGCAAGACTGTTCCAGTTCCTGAGTAAAGAAGACCAGGGCTAGGGAAATAAGAGAGCAATCAGACCTTTCTGCTCGAGACATGCAACCAGCCTGAGATCAATAAAGAACAAAGGAAAAACAACCTCGATTCTCAGTTATAAAGTCTCCATTTATTCTCACAAAGTTTCAATTATGTTGTCACTTTGAGGGAAGTCAAATACGTTTGAGAGATAAGAGCTATGAAAAGCTAAGAAACGAATTTATGCTTATAGGAAATACTCAATTTCACAAAATGAAATTCAAAGCAGTTCTTCTAACCTAGTGAGGCTAAACAACAATACAACAATGAACAAAAAAACAGAAACGGAGCAGGGCCTGCATGTGCCACTAAGAAGTTCCCAACAAAGGTTTATGCAGGTTGACACCGACAGACAGTATCTTTAGAAAAAGAAAGGAATGTTCTTTTTGAAGCATCAATACATCTCAATATTAACAGTCAAGAATTTCAATACAATAGGAGAAAAAGTTGAAAACATACATAAAATGTCAGAGAAACAAAAATAAGTAGCAGAGAGCTGGTTAAATATATTACTTATGCCCTCTTTTGGATATTCTTCAACCATCGCAATGATGCAAAAACAGAATTTTAATGACAAAGAAAGGTTATAAATGTGAGGGGGAGTAAACAGACTGTATAGTTCTCATTTAAAAACACACACACACATATGAAATAAAGGGTAGTTTTATCTTTTTTTCCTTGTAGTTTCCAGAATGAATAAAAATACTTTTACAATAAGCAAGTTCCCAAATGTTACTGTTTTAAAGCATTCTCTTCAGAAAAGTAGCAATAAGTATAGCCACCTTTTTAGTGTCCTACCTGAAAGAGTCGTGTGAAAATGTCGAATTCAAACACTGAAATGTAATCATTGCAGGTCAGGTCAATAGTGGATTTCAGAGCCATGGCCTCCAGCCCAGAACTGATGGGATGCACTTCGTGCAGAGCCTGTCGGAAGCTCTTCCAAGGGACTATTGTCCTGGGGTGGGGGTGGGAGAGAAGACACAGAGTGTGATGACAGATAATTCTGGACACGGCTATCATCAAGAAAAAGAGGGCCACATTAAGCTCCCAATATCAATTTCAATTCCCTTCCAGAAGATGAGCTGTATTTTGAATTGTGAACAGAGAGAGAGTAAATGATAAATTTCTTAGCTAGTGAGTAAATTAATAATACAGAATTTTTCCACTATTTGGTAGAATGTCACAAATTAACCCCTTTTCTCATCTTTCTTCAGACATTCGCTCTATTACAGAAGCATGGAAAAGGAAATGAGGTTATTCTTTTTATATAGTAAGTATAATCTGTGGCCAGGCTTCACTAACTGAAAGCCTGTGTTTAACCTTTTAAAGGCATGTAAAACATTCTGAGTTCTTTGAGGAACCCATACCATCAAGGAGTTTTTAAACAACAGTTTTAAGGTATTAGAAGAACAGAGTTCTGATAGCAATAGGAAAAAATTATTTAACATAAAAACAGTGATTAACCCCAGATAAGGTTGGTAAGAGACATTATGGGATTTCTATTTCTCAAAATCTTTAAAACAAATACAAATCTCACTGCTTTGATGAGTTTATGTATTCACCAGCTTGAAAATAAGAGCTCAAGTGGTGTGTTGAATTCTTATAAAGTAGTTATTAAGTTAAAGGAACTAAGTTAAACTTATTCCTATCCTCTTCAGCTAAATGCTTTTGTTTTTGTTTTTGTTTTTTGAGAGGGCATCTCTCATACTTATTGATCAAATGGTTGTGAACAACAATAAAATTCTGTATAGGGGACTCAATGCACAATCATTAATCAACCCCAAGCCTAATTCTCAACAGTCTCCAATCTTCTGAAGCATAACGAACAAGTTCTTACATAGTGAGTAAGTTACATGATGAACAGTACAGGGGCAGTCATATCACAGAAACTTTCGGTTTTGATCACGCATCATGAACTATTAACAGTCAAGTCAGATATGATTATTCATTTGATTTTTATACTTGATTTATATGTGAATCCCACATTTCTCCCTTATTATTATTATTATTTTTTTTAATAAAATGCTGAAGTGGTAGGTAGATGCAAGATAAAGGTAGAAAACATAATTTAGTGCTGTAAGAGGGCAAATGTAGATGATCAGGTGTGTGCCTGTAGACTATGTGCTAATCCAAGCTAGACAAGGGCAACAAAACATCCACGGATGCAGAAGATTTCTCTCAAAACAGGGGGGTGAGGTTCTAAGCCTCACCTCTGTTGATCCCCAATTTCTCACCTGATGGCCCCCCTGCGACTGTGCCTGTCTTAGGTTGTTCCTCCCTTGAGGAATCTTACCCGTCTCTGTTCAGCTAAATGTTTTAAACCACTAATGAGTCTATATTGTATATATAAACACGATTTCTTTTGAAGAAGTGTTAAGAGATTGTTGTTACCATCTGTATATTCAACTGAAAAGTTTTATTGCTTTCTTTTTCAGTTCCTTGATCCAAAATTTAAGGATATACAAGACATCTATATTAATATTATTATTAATATATTAATTTTAAAACATGAGCTTGACTCATAAATCTGCCTATATAATTTAAAACTTCTGCATATCAAAAGACAATATAACTAAGTGGAAAACAAGCCAGACTAGGAGATGATATCTGAATGTAAATAACTAACAAAGAATATCTGAGAACACGAAAAAGGCAAACTCAGCAGGAAAATGGACAAGCCAGGAACAAGCAAGTCAGAGTAAGAATCCTGACTGGTCATAAATATGAAAAGATGTTCAATTTCTCTTGGCATCAGGAATATAAAGCAAAATGATACCAACATGCCACCAGCATTAGCCAAAATGTGGACCTACTGGTACTCACGTATGCTACTTACTGGGATATAAACTGGTGTAACTACTTTACAAGCAAATGGGCAATATTTGGCAAAGCAGAAGATGTGAGACCCCCTGAGACTCAGCTATTTTATTCCTAGGTATGTAACTGTGGAGAAGCTCTTACAAATACAATTTTGTTGACTGAAGCACTGTTTATGGTAGCAAATATCCATTAACAACAGAGTGGATGGGGAAAGAAAGACAACGGTATTCAGTCAAAGCTCATGGGTTTCAGATAATCTGCAGAACTTTATTTCTTTTAAAAAAAAAAAGTCAGTATTTACCAAAGCCAGGAAAAGTAGGTACAGTAATCCCCCCCCATTATCCACTGGAGATATGTGCCAAGCCCCTGGTGGATGCCTGAAACCACAGATGGTACCAGGCGCTTTATATACTATGGTTTGTCCTATACATACACACCTATGATAAAGTTTAATTTATAATCTAGGCACAGTAAGAGTTATTGTTAACAACAACAATAAAATAGAACTATAATAATACACTATGATAAATTATGTGATGTGGTCTCTCTTTCTCTCAAAATATCTTATTGTACTGTACTCACCCTTCTTGTGATGTGAGATGATGAAAGGCCCACGTGATGAGGTGAAGTGAGGGAAATGATGTGGGCACAGTATGTGTATACGTGTTTTTAATAAAACAAACAAAAAGCCCACAAAAGAATCCACAATTTAGTTCTTCATAGTTCAAATTCACTATTTTGAGACTTACTTTTCCCCAAAAGCTTTCCTCCAAAATTCGGCAGCATCTGCTTTAGTAATCCGAAATGTGTCTCCTTGGAAGAGTCCACTTGGAAAGATTCCTTTTAGTTCTGCCAGCATGTGGCTAAAGATCAGGGACAGTTTGGTTAAGTTTCGCCTACAAATGATCAGAAATGCAATAATTAAATAAACACATAAAATTATTTTATTTTAAATGCAATGAATTCACCATTAAATACATTTATAAAGAACCTGCTTAAGTACACTTTCCTGGCCAGTATTACTCAAAAATACATAAAACCAGAGCAGAGAGGAAGGAATGTACTGCTGACAATATTAAATACTCTGATTTTATCTTTGTTCAAAGAAGGGCTTCAGAAACTTTTTGCTTTAACATCATATGAAAGATGCAAATACAATGGAAGAAAACTACTGCATTCTGCAGATCCACTCATATTCTAACCAAATGGACGTTGTATAGTAAATCAGCAAAAAATGTTAACAGTGATATATTTTAAAGCTTTTAATCAGTCCTAATCACTTTGAGTATAAACTAACATGAATATATTTACTTTTTTAGGCTACAGATGAGAGGAATCAACAAATAAATAAACCTAACAGACTGGACACTTCTATAACCATTCACTCACAAAAGAATTCTTAGAAAAGCAAAACTTTTCTTCACATAAACTATTCCGGATTTATAAAAAAAACCATCAAATAACCTATCCAAATTAAAAATAAATTTCCCAATAAAAAGGACTATTTAAATATCCAGCCCTAACAATTATTTTTCCTAAATCAGACTTTAAAGAAGATAAGTTTTACCAAAACAACTCTTCCTTTACCAAAAATGAAGTACTAACATCCAAACCAATGGAAGAATTTCTACCTTTGTGTGTGTGCTACTACTATGTTTTAACAATTAGTTAACTTTATTCTAATAACCTCTGTTTAATGGATGTGATTATAATGATGCCACAAAGTAGCAATTTAACACACCAGATGATGTTTCTACTTTTAGGTATATACTCAGATTATCTTTGTTATCTTTAATAGTGATGTCACACAGAACAAGATCCAGATGCTGCAGATACTGTTATACACCAAACCAGCTACTGATTATACTTATTTTCCCTTGCCTCAATAATTAATATTTATGGATTCAAAAGCCAGTTCTTGTCATACAAGTGGACTATAAAATTTCGAACCAATACATGATCAAATTTGATTGCCTAAAAGTTCTCTTTAATAGAGAGAGATTTTTCTTTCTCTTTTTAAATGTCATCCTGGAGGGTCCACCATTGTTACATCTTTGTATTTTCTGGATAAAACATTGCTCCAAAGTAACCAAGTCTCTCTAGCTCTGACTCTTCTGTAAAACGCCACCAAATTCTTTCCAATCAGCTCAGTTTTTTGGTATTTGTTTTCTTGCACTTATAACAAGTTATTCTGTTTCTAGTTCCCTATTTGTTTTCTGAAAGTATATATAAGAGTGTAATATATTCCCTGAAGGCAGTCTAAAATAATTCATATGCTAAATAGGTCAAGTATGAGATAAAAACGCAAGCACTTATCCAGTCCCTAAACTCCATTAACTGTTTTCCTCCTTGCACTTTCAGATCCTTCAATTACTGCTTCAGATCCTGGGACTTTTACTGTTTTAACAAAGAAGAAATAAAAACAGAGAAGATCAAGAATATATCACAGAAGGATTCTAAAACAGGTAACCTGGTAGAAAATCTGCAAAGCACAGATTTTTTCCCAACAGATTTTACTTGCAAGTCTTCAGCAGGACACCAGACTGCACAGTGGCATGAGCCTCAACATTTGTAAAACATCTGCTAACTGTTCATCCTTAAAGATAGACAGGTAAGAGACCATGATTCAAATGAGGTATGCTAAATTGTTGAGAACCTATATGTGTAAAGAACTATGGGCAACAGTACAAAAGAACAATGCATGACATGATAGAAAATATATGTATCACTCCCAACATTACAACAGAGCTCTTTCTGAAAGAAACACGTTTGAATCTTCTTCCTCAAAGTATCTTTCTTTGGTTTCTCCAAAGTTGTCCTCTCTTAGTTCTCCTACTTGCTTTTACAAGTTCTCCCTTTGGCTTTTCTTCCAAGTCTCTTAACAGAGCTATCTTGCAAGAACATGGCCTCTGCCATCGTCCTTTCTTTCTCCGCGTACTCTCTTGGTCCTCCTGTTGCAATCTCAAGGCTTCAAAAAACTATTTGCAAATGATCCCCAAATCTTAGGCATTGGTAGCTTTCCAACTGCCTACCACATTTCTCCATTCAAATGCTAGCGCCCTGAATGCTCAAACTAAACTCAAAAAAACATGCTCAAACTAAACTAACCTTCCTTCTCAGATCTGTCCTTTCTTCATGTTCTCTATTTCTTCATTTAATGACAACACCATCTTACTTCCCACAAGCTCAAAACCTTAGAGTCCTCTTGGCTTCACCCACTTTGCTAATTCTCCATATCTGATTTGTCAGTTTGCTGACCATTTGCTGTCAGTCCTACCTTTGAATTACATTATTTTCTAATATACATCCCTTTGCTGCCTTCACCTGCCTACTCCATCACTCAAAGTTCAGTCTCTTCCTATGCAGGTCCAATCATACCACATATGATTCTTGCCTTTTAAGGAGAGAGGGAAAAAAAAAAACAATTTCCACAGTGCCAAGGGGGCAAACTCTGAACTCAGCTTTGATTTTAAGACTTTCCACTGACCTGGATCTGACCTACCTTTCTAACTAATTTCTTTCTCATTTCTTCACTAATACAGTCAAGCCAATCTTTACCTTTTCTCATACCTCCCTTATTCACTCTCCCACCTGCGAGCCTCTGCTTATCTGTATCTTCAGAAACCAGCTAGAAGTAATCAACCTCTAAAATACAGCATTTTCACCGCAGTTCCTGTGTCATCTGAACCCATCTTGCACTGTACTTACCTGTATTCATAAGGGCTAAATCCCTTCTGGTGGGTGTTTATATCCCTTCAGACATGTGGCATAATTTCTAATCTTCTTTATACCTTCAGAAAACATCTGAGTACCTACTATGTGCTAGGCACTGGGGACGGCTATAACAATGAACTAAACAAAATTCCAGGTTTGATGGTATTTACAAGTCCCATGGGAAAACATCTTGTGTTAAGAGAAAAGTGCTTTAAAGAAAAATAAAGCAGGGTATGAGGATAGAGTCCAATACTCTATGTAGGGTTGCCATTTTAGAAGGAGTGGTCTCAGGAGTCGAAGCACTGATTCTTAAGCTAAGTCTCAAGTGAGGATGGGAAGTGACTCTTGGGAAGACAGGGCCATGTTGGCATCTTTGACTCAATTTCAAATTTTCCACTGAGAATCTACCAGGTATCCAGCACCATGCTGAATCAGAGATAAAATATACATACCAAAATAATAATGGACAGAAAGCTTTCTAAACTTGCAAAGTAAGCCACAAAAAGGGGAAAGTTATTGACCACAAGGATGTAATGGCACCAGGTACCTAAAAGCAATTTAAAGTGCTGACTAAAATAGTTACTGAAAATCGTTTTAAGACACTTGCCTACTCAAGGATGCATTCCCCCAAAAAGACAGTTTACATTTCTTTAAACCACCAGAGATGTGCACGTAAGCATCACAGTTCTTAAAAGGAAATAAGGAGTCTATAAATGCCCATAGGTCAGAGCATTGTGTAACTGATCTGAGTTGAAATTCTGTCCCAACAATATTTCAAGGCCATGGGCTTGTGGCTGATTGTCTACAATGTACACGGCAGAATTAAACCAGCTGAATCTGTCTAAACATGTTATCTTAGAACAATGATGCATGATGGATATTGGGCTTATTACACAGTAAGCAATACTTCTCAAAATTCTTGTCAGTAGTTACTTCAATTAACATGTGTCCTAACAGTTTGCCAAATATCCACAAAGGACCACAACTCTTCAATTTTGTATAAATGCCCTGAAGACAAAACTTTTCTTAAGTTCCAGTAGTAGCAGGTAGCACAGGTTTTTCTTTAACTCGGTATTTGAAGGAGGTCATTTTCACTGCCTTTACTTCTAAGCGTCTACACCCAGGTAACCACAAATTCTACGCTACAGCTTCCATCTTCCTCTTCTCTTCTCTCACGCCTTCCCCCGCCATCAAATGCTGATTCAGTACGCAGTGCCAAGTTTTAAAAAGTTCAAGACTGGTGTCGGTTCTTTTCCCCTACCCAGGTCCTACTTGAGAAGCCCATGTGCCTTTATCCCTCGGGCCTGAAGAAATGGTGTACATATTTCTGTGCATCATTTCAGCTAATAAGGGGCTAAGATTTATATGTCACCAATACATAGGTGTGTGAAAAATTAAAGGAGCAATTGTAGCTCCTGTTTTAGCTTCAGAAGTAGAAAGATAAATACAGCTTGATAGGAACTGCAATCACCATTTCTGTAGATCAAGCAGGACAGTGTTGAAAAGTAGCCTTTATATGAATATGAGATAAATAGGAAACTCCTCAAATGGTGCAACAAATGAGATGATGAAAAACAAGCTCTTACAACTCTTGGCTACAAAGTACTTTGCAGAAAAAGAGGAAATGGAAAAAAGAATACAGTATGGGGAGATAAATTAACCCTTTTTATTAAAAGGTATTTACTAACATTTAAGACAAGTGCTGAGAGTAGTACCACTCTTTTGTTTTAATGAGACCACTCCATCCTTTAAATACAGTAACAGTCACAAGAAGAAAAAGAACACTGAAAAATAAGTATTAAGAGATCCAGATTTTCTGGAAAAAAAATAAAGTGATGACTTGAAAAACAATCAGTCCAATGTACTCATTAAAGACACTCTTACTTGGGGTTGTATTTTTTGAAAGTCCATTTTAATAGAGTGAAATTCTATACCTGGCAAGTATGCTCTGTTTATTCTTTCTATAAAGGAGTACCTGAAATATATAATAGTTAAGAAGACTAGAGATAGAAAATGTATTTTCTGATCTACCATTAATTTATTGTATCCTTGGGCAGTTATTTGACCTCTCTGGGCCTCCATTGCCTCAGATAAAGGAGCTGGAACCAGTTACTCCTGAAGACTTCTTTCCATCTATAAAAATGTATGAATTTATGCTATACGACTGATTTGAAACTGGAAA